GTCAATTCCATTGAAGACGTCAATGTTTTCAATCAAACCATGTTCTTACTAGATGTGGTATCAGTGTTTACAAACGTCCCACTAACCGAAACAATATGCTATATATGTGAATATATATTGACTCAAAGCAGACGAACATCAGTATACCTACTGAATATTTGAAGGAATTCCTATTGAGATGCACCCTAAACGTTCAATTCTCTTTCAATAACCATATATCTATATATATCGACAAAAAAGACGGTATAGCTGTGGGCTCGCCATTCGGCCCGTTGCTCGCAGACTTTTTCATGTCAAAACTAAGTAAGAAGCACACATCTAAATAAAATGATTGACAACTTTGGATTCTACAACTTACTAACTTTCACAGATGGGCTCCTCTACGAACAAAACTAAACCAGATCCATTCAATGAACCACAGAATTCGCAGCATTTGCAGTTGTGATACTGCAGAAGAGAAGCTAAATACTCTGAAGAGAATCTTCATAGAAAACGGCTACCCAGAACGTTTTATCACAAAATCTATGAAGCCTAAACCACCAAACCGCCTACATTGTCTGCTCCCAAAAAACTGCTTTACCTGAATCTACAATTCAATGGAGATTTATAAGCAGAAATACTGAGAAACTACCTGTCCTGCTCACTGAGGAAAACCTTCTTCGCGGCTGAACTTCGACTAACCTTCTCCACAAAACCAGTGATTCGCGTGAACTTTGGCCTCATCAATACGCATCTACCAATTTACCTACACGTTTGTAGCTACGGAAGGTCGGCTATCCAAACGTATCACCGAACACTTACCCTCATGGTTTCAAAAGAGGAGTAAGAACCCCTCTACAAAGCTCTATTCTGGAACACCTGATCGAATCACAACACCAAGAAAACCCGCAAAATAACTTCAAAGCCATCTAAGGAATACACGAGAAACTTGTCAACAGGGTACGAACCAAACTTCTTCAAACCACAGAAGCAATGGCAATCCACATATTAAAACCTGAACTCTGAATACAGAAGAAGCTTCTTCAGTCATTAAATCTACAGTGGACTTGACCTATCTTAACACCAATTGCATAACGTTTTTCGCCTTTCGTTTCACTTGTTTGTTTCTTAGTTGTATAATATTTTTCCCTACCCTTTATTACCATTGGTGTTAACTTGACTTTAGTTCAGTTAATTTTAATTTTAGCTGAGCTCTACTCAACTCCGTCAATTAGATTACGTCATTCAACTAACTTGCTCATTTAATCCTAATTTAGTTTCTAACCCACTGACGAAATTTGTTATCTCGAAAACTTACACTTCTAATAATTATGCTTAAGTTTCTACCTGATTAACGCTCTCTCTATTACGTAATTTGTCAGCTGAAATTTACAATTCTCGTGACAAATTCTTGAAATATTCATTTTGTTACTAAGAGAATCAGCTAGCTGTATATATGCGACTGTACAACACATGAGAATGGATATCGCGGAAAAGAGTAACACTCTTCGCCGAGCGTCTGTTGTTTTATAATATTAGATTTTTTTTCATGTCTATTTATGCATATTTTTGAATAAATTCTGGTGGGTAGTTAGTTAGTTATTCGCTACCAATACTTCCTTTATTTGTTCGATTTCATTATTTAAATCCTCCTCCAGCTCACTAGTTCGGCTGTTGGCCCGATTATACAGAAAAAACTAATCCTATGCTTCTTAACCGCTTCTGGATGGGATGAATTAAAGGGTCTAATTATTTGTTTGAGTGTGTGTCAGTCTCCTATAAATCCCAGCGAGTATCTAACCCACCATCTTGTTTTGTGTTTTACCCTGTTCATTTTCCAGCTGACAAGTGAATTGGATTCCTATTGGATTGCTATTGAGTTGATATGTGTGTGTGTGTGTGAAAAAATGAGGGATACGTTCAGGTGTCAACACAGTGATGCATGGAATGTGTTATCCACACATCTCCACCACAACCAAGGTGGAGCACGATTAAAAACGTGGCTGTCAACAGATTAAAATCTGAAGACATTATTCCCCCTATAGAAGCAGCAATATGTGTGAAATAGACAAAACTTCTGCGGAACAAGTCAGAGCACAATGTGGCTTGACACTAAAAACTTCAGAAGAAAGGAAAAAGCAATGTATTACAAAACGAAATAGCAGCTCTAAATGCTTGAGAAACGACAAAATAGCATAGTGATCACAAAATTGGACAAGGGAAATACAACAACAGTAGTCATGGACAAATCAGAATACATAAACAAGGTCAGTCAACATATTAAAACAGGACCATATGAGGAAGTTAAAAAAACTTGTGGACACTATTATCAATAAAATAGAAAATTCTACTAAGTAATCTAGTACTGGCTGAATGATCTTTTTCCATATAAAACTTTGCGCATATGTGCAGCAGTTCACCTGCCACACTCCTTCCTTGTACCCCACAGAGCGAGCGGAGAGAAGAGAAAGCTTCAAAGCAGATATAATAAACAGAGATATGAGGCAAAAGATTGGTAATATGGAAGAACAATTGAGTTTCATTGGATGTGACAAATCACAAGTAGTAAATGCATCTGCACCAGACATCACTGAGAACCATTTCGAGTTATATCACCAACAACTGTCTTCAGCCATCTGTGTTTACCTTCCCGAGGACCCCAACCAGTCAGTCAGGAAGTCTATACCTCCATACATGGCCGGCTTAAACTAACTGTAGTAGTGGATTTCACTGACTGATGAAGACATGTTTTGGTTTGACCATCATGTGCTACCTACTCTCCAGCCTGATAAGTCAGCTAACATTGGTCATCAGTGAAACTTTACAAGTTCGTCGATTGATTTCCTTTCCTGGTCTAACACTTGGCGCCTAACTTCAATATTCCTCACCTCATTCTACCACCTAAACTAGCAATGGAGATAGAATGTAGACACCTATGATCAGGGACAGCTAGTCTTTGCATGTCTTCTTACTTACTTTACTTCGGTTATCTCCTATGGGAGGATGAGCCGGCTTCATGAACCATGAAGTTTCATGGGAATTGGGTACGAGTGATGTCCCCAGCATCGCTCAGCCTTTTGTTTGAGAGTGCAGCTCTAGCCTTTACACAACCAAGTGTGACCTACAAGGAAGTAGGAGTGGAGTAGGGAGAGACTATCCATTGGAGCCGGTGACCGGAGTCCGGTTCATTCGCCCTTTTGAATGGGGCCAGTCATCCAGGGCATCCAATAAGTCCTTTGTCCATACGTCTGCCGGTGAGCTCCAGTGAGCTTCATACGCCAGTCGTTGGAGGTTTGGAATCAGGGTTTAGCCATCTCCCCTAGACTGTCATCCAATGGACAGTCAACCCGGTGAAGAGCGCGGGGCATCCGCTTTTGCCCTCTCACTTTGGTGAAAAACACCTCCGCCACGTGAAGGCAGTGAGTAGTACTTCCTCAGGAGAGGCTATGTAAGACGCCCGGTTATATGGGAGCATTTCAAGAGGTGTACGGAGGGGTGGCCAACCCGCAGCGCAATACACCCACCCCCGACCATCCTGAGGCTTTGCATGTCTTCCACTTTCAGTGTCATTTTCTCAGAGTGATAGAGGAGGACGGAGCGAAATGGTGAGCGCCTAATTTAGGCGCCATTAAGCGCGGAAACGGAGAAAGGTTAAGATTAACAACCCTATCTATTATAAAGGAAATACTACTGTGCTGTTGAAACGTCAAAGCTGAAGCCTGAAACTCTATATTCTACTGGGAATGCTAAGCAATAAAATTTCTGAAAGACAATAAATAATAAAGCATGGTGAATACATATTCAACAGGTCGATAAACACAGTCTTACTTCTTGGAACTACCACAGACTTTCCCACTTGGTTCTTTTCTTTCGCCTCAGTTGGACTTTTGGGCTTTATCACATCAACTGAAATATACAAAAAGTTTTAAGAGATTAACATTTTACATCTAAATAACACTTGACAATCATAGTTAGTTCTACCAGATCGATATAGCTGGGCTGGTTACTGTACAAGGTGCAAGCCACCTACTTTGATCTATTAAAGTTCGTTCTCTTTCACTTCCAAAGCTAAAAAGCGGTTCAAAACTGATAGATACTTAGAATTTAGAGAATTTACACGTATATATATATATATGAACTGGTTCTACGCGACTTATGTATTAACATGATAGCATCAAGCAACGATGGATGGTATTGTCGAACACATCACGAAATAGATATTTTGGTTCCCGAATAAACCAAGACCAACAGGAAGCCACAAGGGAAGATACATTGTCGACACAGAGACTTCAAGAGACAATCTCACGCCACTAACGTGGGTACCGAATGAATTAAATCTGACAGCGATTGGAATAATGGCTACCATCTAAAACTGAGTTAAAGTGTGATACAATCCCATTCAAGAACAAGTGTGAAATCATGCTACCTACCTCTACCTCAGACAAAGTATCAAACTACATCATACTGGAAAGACTGAAAGGTGTCAAGCATGGAAGGCTTCACAGGGAATAGACCGAATTCAGCAAGAAAAACTCCATTTGCGGACTAAATTGCAACACTACGCATCATCATCGAACACTGTTCAGAGTCACAGACAACTCTTCACATTAACCTCATCGATGTGGTTCGGAAACTGCATCAACATTAGAGAGTACCACAAACGTCTATAAACGTTATTCAATTACTATTATGACGATGCCAAAGATAAAATAATTCACAACGTAAAGACAACCGGAAAGAATCTGAAGTGAAAACAGAAGCAGGACAAGGCCACCCTCTATCATCTATCATCGTCCTGATTGTGGTCGACTGGGTCACGCAACAGACAATGGAGAGTGGAAGACAGGTATACACTGGAATGACAAAAAGACACTAGATATGAATTCCACAGATGATTTGTCTCACGTCGCACAAACTAGAAGACATACAACAGAAAAGGAACAAGTTGGTAAAAGACAAGACTTCACATGATGGAAATACCCAACCAACGGTACAGATCAAAAGGAAGCCATGTAGTTAACTAATCTTGTCAGTCATTTTAACTACATGGATTAGGGTATCAAAACCAGGATTGACGTCCATCACTCCTCAATAAGTGTGGTGATATACAACAGTTAGCAAAACGACAAAGATACAAATTTATGAGTCTATTACCATGTCAGTGATTCTAGAGCACGAATCACTAAAACATTTGCAATAGGATACTGACGCCTTTCACCGAAAACTGTGTCAGCCTGGCAGTGAAGATCAGATGACTACCAAAAGACAAAGGGAATGGAATTCACACAACGAAACAGGTAAAAATCTGTTGCTCAACAAAAACTACAGGAGGAAAAGGATTGAGCATACTCCAAGAAAACTTCCTTGTAACACTAAACTTCAGGTCCTCTAATATAGCCCAAATAGGTAGCAACAAGTTGGGCGACCGTAGGCAACATGAAGATCATGTGGAGAAGTAAAAGGCTGAGTTTTCACAGAATCAAATGAAAATAATAACAGAGAACCGACTTAGATGCTGATGTGCCACAAAAACTTCATGTTTCTCTCAGAGTAAGAAATGAATAATAATACCAATAATGTGTTTAATTTATATCACATACAAATTTAACACACCTAAAAAAGAATTACCTGTTCCAACCTCAATTTTACAGTCCTCTTGTTTTATTGAGTTCCATGACCTTTCCGACATTAGTATATGACCTGGAAAATACAAAACGTTTTAAAAAATCAAATAACATCGGCCATAAGCTGGTGTCTTCTAACACATATCTTGACCAGGTCGATCAAGTTGTGGGATCGATATATTTCACCATCACGAGCTGTTGTGCAAGATACATGTATCTGCAGATCATCCATCTGAATCTGTCAGCGTACAAATGTTAACTTTCAAAATTAGACGCAAACTTAAGACTAACCGCTGTTCTACTTATTCCAAAACTGAGCTTGAGAATCGATTAGTTAGTGAATGTGGTAACACATTCAAGTACAAACTGGTTTCCTGCTATCCCTTATAAGTAAACAACACTGCAGGATGTTCGGCCTACCCTTCTATTATTTTCACGCCAACTTAAAAATCATTTCGTAGTGTTTTGAATCCTTCATTGCTCTGCCAATGGCAGAACCTTCGGTTCCCCCCCACAACACTCTCCGGTTAATAACTTGCCCTTTTGTTGCTTCTCCGTTGTAAAAGAATCCGACTTGAAGTGATGCACATTCTTAGAGTATTTGAGGACGCTTTAGCCATGTTATCAACATTATCTCAAGAATTAAACAAAGATAAAGTGATAAAATGACACAAAATAAGAGCTGCTCCAACTACACTGAGCATATGTGTGGTATTGTTTGAAAGTGTCACATAGATGGGTTTGTGTTACCTGTAATATATTATGTGGCTCAGTTGACTCTGCGAATAAACGACGAGTCAGATCAGCCTTAAACACAGTCTAGCTCTATCGGTCAATGCATTAAGGTGACGACACAAATAATAAGCGCAGCTTGTATATTGCATATAATATTCTCAGGAGTAAGGGTTCACTTGAAAAAACCCACGAGTGACCTTGGTGCTCCCAGATATGCGTCCTTTTTGTAAGTGCCATCTATAAAAACCCCAACAAAAAGCCTTACAACTACGTTTCACCTGAATCCATCCCCGTGTCTCTGGGTCGAACCTACTTCCATGCACCAGATACTGACGCTACAAGGTGGTTACTTTGGAGAATGTTGGGACTCCAGAATCCTTGCAGCACTTAAAACAACAGCATCCACTTTCTTCTTTCAATACTCCAAACACTTTTTGTACAAATGTACCGCCTTTCACAAGAATTAGCCTTGTCCACAATAGTTGGCTGCCTGGAAACTATTCGTGCATTCAAAGTTCCCAATAATAATTTATTCGAAGTGGTGTACCAATGACACCATGTAAAACTGTAAGTAACTCACCTGACTGCGTGAATGAGTGGGGACACACGCGCAATTGAAGGCGCGAATACTTACACTGGCCACGTTGGAATTGAATCCGTGCAAAATTCAAAAAAGATAAACAAACATTTTCCTCAACTAAGAATAATAAAACCATTCTAAGGCAACAAAAGGTAATTTTCATTTATTATTAATAAGCAAATTCAGCATTTTATTAGCCAGAAAGCCTCCTCAGGGACTCATGCTCAACTCTGACTTAACGAACCAACGTAAGAGTGATGCAGGTTTTAAGTACCCAAAGTATTACGAAGCTATCAGGAAAACTTTAAGTTCAGATTTGTTCATAATACACTAAATCTGAATAGGTTATAAACGCAATGTAGTTGACAGGTTATCGTTCGATTTCGGCTTAAATTTCAGATATGAAACCCAGATATGAAATCTAATATCCACTATCCAATATCGTTTTTACGCGCTAGTATAAACCAATTTGATTTCTTTGTGCTCGCTCCTTGATTGTAAAGTATAGGTTCCTGATCTTCGGTAAACTTCTGCGTAGCTTGTCCCGCCACTCGACTGTCGTAGCTCTGGTTGACTCCAAAGGGAGTAGTGCTGGGATTAATTATATGTGGCTTATAGTATGAAGTGTGTTAAGACTGTTACTACTGTGAATGGAGTTGATCCTTCACCAGTTAGTCCTGCGTTATCGTCGACAAAGAAATGAGATAATAATAATAGTAATAATAATAATATTAGATACAATTAGTGAAGTTATTCGGACTAACAGACAGAAAAAGAAATAAGAAAGCGTAACAACAGTCAGCCGATTAAACTTGAAGAATAATATGAATTATAGATATATATCGGTTATAATGACAATAATAACAAGTGTAGTTAAAGTTGTCAGGAGAGTAAGACGGGAGAGAATGCAAAGAAGTTAAACGACACCTTTAATTGTCTACTCATGAATGGTTGTCACATACGTCACGTAAACCGTTAATGCCCAGCTCTTGCTGCACTCGGGCTCACGCTGTTCCTTGAAGTTTCTCAGAAACGCTTAGTAATAACGAACGCAAAAACCAAACCACCAATTGGCGACTCCAGGATTCTTTATTGTAACACCAACATATAGCCAACTTTACAACTAAGGTCTGTGAACAAATATTACAATATTACTTCTGAAGGTTTTCTGCTGACTTCTTTCTGAACAGCGACCGATGAGACGATGACTGGTGTATCGATGTCTCCGCGAAAATTGGGGAAGTTGATTTTGAGCAAACAACCAAGAATTGATCGTTCAATCTTCAACTACATTGACACTCCCCGGCAAAAAAGGATCCATTCCTTTTTTCCATCACGACCAATACACATTGACTTGGATGCCATTGCGAGAACCTGGGTCACACGGACAGAGCTGAAGTGGAAAACAAACAGAAAAGCCAACACACCACAAGCATACCCACAGCACAATCTCACATATCGATGACGACCTGCGCCTCCCAGTTAAAGGTATCCTCTTGACACATCCTCTTGCAACACAATCGCCACTTGCTAGAATGACTCTCGCAGAATGCAACGTGACCATAGCACCAACTCATGATACTCCACGCACGTTCTCGTATCTACTCACTACCAATTACCACTGCAATCGCTTGTCACTCATTCTGCCTCAGTTCTAGTAACGGTGACGTATGCGAGCCTCAGTCGTTTACACTCTTTCTCCCCGGCGTGTCGGACCGCAGCTAACAATTATCTCCGTGTGCATTTCATTCTCAGCAATAGCCTAGCCTCCCCGGCGTATACGACCCATCTGCTGTCCTTAACATCAATCAATTCATTCATGGATGTAGAAGACTGGAAACAACATTGGAAGTAATCACGACGAAAATTTTAACAAAATTACGCAATAACAACAAGATACGAAAACAACAATTAAACACAATGAATGCAAAAAACAATTGATATGACACACCACACATATATACAAACTGTACACAAAAACTCGCGGATCATGTCTTGATGGAATTCCTTTGAAGAAATGCAGGACTTAAACCTGTAGGCCTACAACCCTTCTCACGTTGACGATTGTAAGTTGTGGAATCTCCGGACGCAAACAAGATTAACCAACAATTACGATAATTGGAACTCACACAACTATTTAACACAAACATATGTACAATCACTACATCAAATGTTGTGGATTCCGGCATGACAAACTACCCTTGAAGAACTGTAGGACTTACATCAGTACGCCTACATTCCTTCTCAGGTTGATCATCCAAGTGGAAGTCGTCCGGACACAAACAGAATTACCAACAGCTAGATGACAGATGATGTCAATTCAGTATATACAATATGAACATATGTACAAAATCACACACCGAGCACATTGGACTGCTCATTGATGCGCTACCCTTTGGAGAATTGTAGGACTTACAGCAGTACGCCTACAACCCTTCTCAGGTTGACGCTCTAGGTTGGAAAATCGTTGCAGAGTTCATTTGCTGACCTCCTCCTATCAGCTATATCTTCAAATCTGAACGGCAAAACGCTCATGTCATTGTGTCGTAGAATATAGATGACGAACAAACACACGACGTATCTGGTCAACCAGGCGTAGGCACAGAGCAATTTACACCAAAGATAATAGCATTCAAATAGTAACTTGAAACTAGAAATGCCTTTATTCATGCAAATCAATTTAACAATTACTCTCTCGTTTACACTTGGCTTATCCTCACGAAACTGAGCAATATCTTTCGTCCCTTCAAATGCACCAATACTATCATAGTCACTGCACAAGATACTTGAGTTGATGTGCGTCGGTTTCATTGTGGATGACAACACCAACGACGACTGAGTGATACCAGTTGATGAACTTAGCGGTGGATCAGAAGCTGTTCTTGTTCGGCTTTCAGATAGTTGTCTAACTGCAAGATTACCACCACTGCTGTCTTTCACTACTAGTTCGGGTTTAGAACTATCATCTGATGATAGGTGGACTACACGCTGATCAATTACACAGACGGTCTGACAAGTATGCGTGCCTTCTGCAACTGAATCTGCATTTATTTCTAATTCACCTTCAAGTTGTACAGAACCTTTGTTCAACTTAGCAGTAGTAGGCATATCCCTCATCTCATCATGATCGACCAAAGACAAATCTGCACTATCATGATCATTATCACAAATATTCAATTTACCATCATCTATCTGGTCGACTTCATCATTTTCAAACTCTTTAATAACAGCAGTAGATGATTTGGGTTCTTCCTCACAAATCCCTAAAGATTTTATACCTTCACTCTGACTAGAAATACCTTGTAAACTTGTGGAGTCAGAACTGTCCTCTGAGACTGTAACTCTCTTATGTGACACTCTATTCAACAACGGCTTACCAGTTGCAACTACAGACTTCTTGACCGCACCGTTATCGTCACACAATTCGGAGTCAGACCTGGATTTCACATATAGCTTATCGTTAAACTTGCTTGCCGATTCACAGCTCACCTTTGTATGCACCTCCTGCAAACGTGTAAAACACAACCGTGTTTGTCTTGCATCTTGTAACTTATATGTTGAGGATGTACTACGGAACCTGTTACACTCACTAGGTCTATATGCAATACTAGACACCATAGATCCTTCTCGATATCCACCTCTCTGAGGCCTATTCGTCATCAATGATTGTGTTTTTCCCTCAGACTGCTCTATTCTAGGGGCGAGATTCAATATACTGGCAAACTTGCTCATAGATTGATTGACACTATTGTTTACTAATTTCAGAATATCATTAAACCTTGGCTCGATACCCTCATCCTCCATGCGGGAGCTTATTTTTACCCACTTCCTTTGCAGTCGAGTAGGTAGGCGTCTCGCTATTACTTCTGGTATAAAACTCGAGTTGAGGTCACTCATGCAATTCATCGAAACCAATGCATTCTTGTAAATCAACAGATTATCCAAAAACTCAGTAAGTGCCTTGGAGTCATCATGTAGTTGACTGCCATTACCCTTAACAGCCTCGAATAATTTCTCTACAATCATCGAAGGTCTTCCAAATCTTTGACGTAATATGCTCATAGCCTCAGCGTATCCCTCATTAGGGAGCATGAGCTTACAGCACTGTATAGCTCTTGAAGCATCTCCAGTGCAATACCTCATCAAATACATCAATTTCAATTCATCACTTAATAAAAAACTACTCAGCATGATCTCAAACTCCTTTACGAATTGCAAATAATCAACCGGGTTTCCATCGAAACACCGTGGTTCAAATTTAGGGAGTTTGATGTTCCTATTATCCCTGAACGGCGAAACAGTAACATCAACCATGTCATGCTTAACATCAGACACATCGTTACAATTAACAGACAAGTCACCATGACTTACTTTCCTGTTTGCATCCAAGACGTTCTGTCCCTTCTTTCACCCAGGCATTATTGAACTTGACCGAATACCAAAAACGTTCCGGATATTGCTTGTTCAAAGAGGACTTGACCGGCACCAGGAAAGATGAACAGTGACTATTCGAACTGTCACCAACTGTCTGAATCCGTCAGAATTTGTTTCCACTGTCAGAAACAGTCAGCCACGTCTCGCACACCGTTAATGCCCAGCTCTTGCTGCACTCGGGCTCACGCTGTTCCTTGAAGTTTCTCAGAAACGCTTAGTAATAACGAACGCAAAAACCAAACCACCAATTGGCGACTCCAGGATTCTTTATTGTAACACCAACATATAGCCAACTTTACAACTAAGGTCTGTGAACAAATATTACAATATTACTTCTGAAGGTTTTCTGCTGACTTCTTTCTGAACAGCGACCGATGAGACGATGACTGGTGTATCGATGTCTCCGCGAAAATTGGGGAAGTTGATTTTGAGCAAACAACCAAGAATTGATCGTTCAATCTTCAACTCCATTGAGAATGGTGTTTTAGAGGTTGACGAAATTCTCGTACACAGCCTCTAAATTATTTTGGCGTACCAACAACAAAGCAAGAGCCAATATTTGATCGTCCAAACTAAGTGATATATTTCGGGACCAAAACAAGCCTTCAGACGAACGCTTAGCTAGCTATTGATCGTGCACGTTACACGGCGGAGTACCAAATGGCGGGGATGCTTGACCGGAAGCCTTCATCTAAACAAGTCGACTTAAACAGTGGTGGTCAGCATCCAAGGGTGAGTGATTGCTGTGGTCAATAATTTTGGGGAATATTTTACCGCTACATCTCGTTCCCCCCTAGTGGGGTGGTGAGGACCCTAAGACAGAACCAGCCGGAAGTAAAAAAACTCGATGGTTCCCTTTCGTGTGAAAAAAATCTTCGGAGCGGCTGGATGGTATGCCTACTGGTTTGTCTGCCTATGCTAATAAGGTGTTTGTACATAGCTTCCTTGTTGTTGTTTGTTGGATTCCGTGCTTCGTTTGTTTCCTGTCCAGTACCTGTCGCACCCGGAAACGAAGACAAGAACGCTAAGAACTGTGTCGAGGAAAATGTACCAAATCAGCTTTTTTGTTTAAAAAAATGTTGTCCATTTACTATTCAGTAAAATAATGCTAAGTTCAGAACATCGGAAAAAAGTACATCTAATTAATTCTTTTTTGTGCACGTTACGTGAACTGTTGAAAAAACAAATTTACTTGTGTTCGGTGGTACTGTATATAACGCCCGGTACGTTCAAATCAGGTGACGCTTTTGCACGTGTTTTCGCTTATATTCATTTATTGGTTACTAATAATTGATCTTTAATAACGATGGTTCAAAATTCTAAAAAGCGTGTTCGTGTGAACACCAGTAATTTAGAAAATAGCACCGGCTCGTCTAATAACACATTACCACCCCATATTATTAGTAGTTCACCCAACATAAAAGCCTCGAACATAACTCTGACCCCTGTAATACAGGTGGAAGATGTTCTGTCTGAAAAAGTAGAGCTCTCTTACTTAACGTGCGTAATTAAAGAGATGCAGCTACAGATAGATGAATTAAAAACGAAATTAAGTTCCCTAGAATGTATACCTGAAACTATCTCACGTATGAAAAAAGAAATGCAGGATCCTACAATCCTAAAGCTTTTTAATATGACCTCTAGAATGACTCATACTGACTCAGAAAATGCGAAGGAGTTAGAAAACGCCATCGACTTTCTATCCAGCGAAGTTGTTAAAAGGCTGGCTTCAAAACAAAACGCAATAGTATATAATGTACCGGATAGTGAGCCCATAAAGTCAGTCCAGCACTCATTGCTGAAGGCTGCAAATCTATTGAATGCACCTTGTCAGTGCATTCGCCTAAGCAAAAAAGACCTGAAGTATCCTTGTCCTATACTCTTTAGGTTCGACAGCTACATAACAGCTGAACGATTTAAGATGGCCGAAGATCTTCTGGCTACTGCCACTAAATTCAAGACTATCAAAGTAGTCTCGGATAAAACACCAAACCAAAGGCAAGCAACCAAGAACTCCTTCGACACAAAGTTGACAACACTGAGAAATACATCTGGTATCAGTGCTAAAGAGTCGACGGACACTGAGGCACAGCAAGTCACGTGTATAGTGTTAGGAGAAAAAACGGCAAGTAAGAGCGACCCAAAACTCAGTAAGAGCAGTGCCACTGGGTGCAGTCTTAGAGTGCACGAGAGCACATCTCGAAAACCTGCTGACCTACATGAGGTTGACATAGACGCACAAACTATGGCTGACCAGAAACTACTGGCAGACCACACTCAATCTGGATCCAAGCCAGAGAGTCCCTCAGTAGAAACCGCAAAAAAGACCACAAAACCCAGAGTCCCACCCCAGACTTCGACATACCTCCCTCGTAATAAGTCAAATAAGCAGCGTGTCAGTCTAAAAAATGACAAAGCATGGGTAACGAAGCACATTCCCAAAGACGTCACGCAGCATATGAGAAGGAATACCCCTTCCCGGACTAGAAGTAACATGCCTAACAACGCACATAACTTGGGAATGCAACGTAGAATGGATCCTCGGGATACATGGGGCACTAAACGGGACTCATATAGGCACCATATTAACGAAAATTCTCGTCCAGACTCCCGCACTATATATGTTAAACCTCATCAACATAATGAGAACAGGTCGACACTTGATCCCCTCAATAACTTCACTCACGCACGTGACGTGAGCCAATATGCATACGGCTATGAAAGCCCCATGAGGTACAACTACCAGGGTAGTCTTAACACAGGGTACCCAGGTCCAGCAAACTACAACCCAAATTGCAGGGCAGACCATATATCACCAGTAGATGAACGCAGATGCCGACCCATGGATGCTAATAGTCAAAATATGCAACAGGATTATTTTCGGCTGCAGCAAGCAATAGCCCCCCTCGCAGCACAATTTGTCCAGGGAATAGTAAACACGCTGACAATGTCTCATATGAGGATCCTCCGAACATAACATAGGCAACCAGGAGTTAGGGATAGTAACAAGAAAACCTACTAACTATCCCAACAACCCTGGTTTTCTGAAAATTATGCTTTTAAATGCTCGATCTCTCCTTAACAAAATAACTTCCCTTCGCAGCTTGGTATACATGGAGCGGCCAACACTGATTCTGGTAACTGAAACTTGGCTTACTATTGATATACCTGACACAAAGCTGATAATTGATAACTATAACATCCACAGGAATGACAGAGTAGACAAGAGAGGAGGCGGCTGTCTAATATATGCCTCTAAATCCACTAACTCCAATACCTTTACAAACCTAACTATCGACAAACTCCCAGAATCCAAGTGGATAAGCATCCACACGAATGAAAATAACATTCTTGTGGGATGTATATACAGAGCCCCTAACAGCCCTATAACGACTGATACGGTTATCGGAGAAATACTAGAGGTTGTACCTAAGCTGGAATTCGACTACAAACTAGTTTGTGGCGATTTCAACCTCCCTGGAGTGAACTGGGATACCTGCACTGGACCGAGAACCTACGAGGTGATCCTAGAAGCCATAGATGTAGGAGGATGGAAGCAGTGCGTACGCCTCCCAACACGACACAACAATATACTCGACTTAATCCTCTGTCACAAAATAGAGCCGATCTCGATAGAGGTGAGGGATAAACTCGACAACAGTGACCACAACATACTGTACTGCACCCTACCCTTACAACTAACAACTAAACACACACCTAAGAGTTCCCCGGTTTACTATCAATATAGGGACTATCGAAATGCCGACTGGGAATTCCTACCAACGCTCTTGAGAAGCTCAGACTGGGGTGAATACTTCACCAATAATAACTTAGAAGTAATACTAAATACCTTCTACAAGACAATCAGTTCGGTAAGAGACACAATCGCACCCCTGAAATCTGCCCTAAAGACACCAACTCTGTTCATAGATCGCAAAACGCGAATAAAACTAAGGAAACTAAAAAGGAGATTTTATTTATACAAAGAATTTAATGCATTACACCTGATACACGAAATATTTAAAAATTTAGATGAGAGACATAAAATGAAAGCACAAGTCGAGGAAAATAAAGCCCTAGAGGGCACCTCTAAAACCCAGGAACTCTGCAAAATCTTGCAAAAACGGCTGAAGAAGGGTGAAGAAAACAATATCAGTCATTTAGAACACGAAGATATAATTTATGATGATCCCCAGATCATTAGTGAACTCCTGAGTGAGTGGTTCTCCAATAACACCAAAGCACATCCGTCCCCAATTCTCGACATAACCTGCAAAAATAACTACAAGTTAGGTGAAATAAACTTTAATATACAAAATATAGCATCGGCGGTAAGGACATTAAAAGCTAACAGTAGTTGTGGGATAGACGATATACCATCCGTCATATACAAAAACGGTGGTACGGATATGATTGTATTATTACTTAGAATATTTAATATCTCACTAGTGACCGAAACCTACCCTGAAACTTGGAAAAACACATATATATTACCTAAGCATAAAGGAGGGGCCAAAACTAGTGCATGTAATTATAGGCCTATCAATATAACACCAGTCATATCAAGGATCATGGAGAAAGTAATCAAAGACCAAATGTCAGACTACTTTCTAAAACATAAACTCATCAACCTGTCACAACACGGATTCCTCAAGAAAAGATCTTGCGTCACTTGCCATATAGACTTTTTCAACGAAGTCACCTATAGAAGAGATAGGAGAGAGCTAGTGATTATCCTCTATTTCGATATAAGGAAAGCCTTCGACAGAGTCCCACATAGTCTGTTAGTCGGTAGGCTATGCTCACTAGGGATACGCAACCCCCTCTACAATTGGATAAAATCATTTCTGTATGACAGGAATCAGACAACTAAAGTTGGCTCAATGACCTCCAGACCTAGACCAATCAGCAGTGGTGTCATCCAGGGGAGTGTATTGGGACCCCTTCTTTTCATTATATACATAAACAGTATATGTGAATGTTTTAGTATAGGCAAGCCAATACTGTATGCAGATGACTTGAAGGTGACATATACCTGCACAAATACAGATATCGGCCCAACTATGAACTCCATACATGAAGAATTAGCAAAAATGGATAGATGGTGTGACACGTGGAGACTTGAGTTTAATGTTGAAAAGTGTGGATGGCTCTGCATAGGCTGTTCCAACCTTGACCTCAACCTAGCAATTCAGGGCCACAAAATCCCCAGACTCAAATCTGTACTAGACCTAGGACTGAAATATTCACACAATCTATCATTTTCAGAGCATATCTCGAATCAAGTGTCGAAATCACGAAGGCTTATTGGTTTCCTACTCAGGAACTTCTACAGAAACGAGTCCAGAATACTACTGTACAAGGTATGTGTGCGCCCACTCCTAGATTACTGCTCATTCATATTCAGCAGTACACGCATAGAAGACAAACTGAAAGTAGAAGGAGTACAGAGGTACTTCACGCGAAAAGTACTCGGAACCGATAACGGCACAAACTACTCTACCAGATGTGAAATCCTGGGACTAGAAACATTATGGTTAAGGCGACTGCGACTAAATCTGTTACTCTTCTATAAGCTTCTTAACCAAATAGTGTATACCCCTGCTAACTATACTCGGTCCTCAGGTAACACAGGATACAACCTTAGGCACACTAAAGGTACAGTGGCTATAGAACCATGTAAAACAGCCACCAGGCAAAAGTTTTTCTTGATTAGGTATGCCCAAATATGGAACAAACTACCTGAGAAAATACGACTAGCAAGCACATTGGCCTCCTTTGAAAAGGCACTTAATGACACACTAAGTGAGTTTGTAATTGATACCAATGGTAATTCCCATGTAAGAGTTTCAGAAATCATAGGCCCATTTAATGTATGAACTCAGAGACTACACCTGTTGTTTGTTTTGTCTCTATTTATAATTCCAGACAAAAAAGCAGCAGTCATGACAATAACACCCATTCAACCAAGAGTCGATCAAACTATGTCTACCTGATACAAAGGGCGAACCATAATCAACATACGAATGAAATATGAGAAAACAAGGTAGAAACTTACCGCAACACCACATGAAAAGATAAAAGTTACTTGGATATCATTTATAATCCACCAACTGGTCTCCTACCCAAAAAGAATGCGGCGATGTTTTATCCAAAAAGGCGAGGAAATACATAAACCCACAGCAGCTGTTGTTAACACTCAGTGGGGGTAGGAGCCAACAAAGTAATCCTTTCAAAGCACATGTATACTTCAAATGGGCACGGAGACTTTGTAGAATACGTCATAATCCAAATCACTGCCTCTACAGCGCCAATAAACCTGGATATCTATGATATAACGAAAACATGCTGAAAGCTGCATCTCAGATCAAGTTGACTCATTCCATGGTAATGATCTCCTCCTGCGTGCCTTATTCGACATATTGAATGGAATGGTTCGCAGTTATTCTGGTACTAGATCGAAAAGAATAAAAAATTCACCGGTTGCTGAATCAAAAGTACTTCTCTGCATGTTTAACTGTATTCTAACTGCTATGATTAATTCCAAACCATTTATCCCATAATCACTCAAATTCCAGGAACGATCCAATTCTACCATTTAAAGAAGCTGGCGGACACGATGTAAATGAGTATTCATGATCTGAAATAAAGAAGCAACTGGTTTTCAACATTTTACTCAACTTACGAGTACAGTCCGCCATGCAGACACAAATGGCGCAAATGGAGAATTCTGGAATCGACCTCGGGACCATTTGATGCAGTAAAACAACCCGACATGACCTTATCTAATTTTCGCCTCCACGATCAAATTTCTTTCCTGTTATGAAACTACGATAAGACTGCTGAAAAATGGAATAAATATATCACTGATCTCAACATAATACATCAATAATCTTTAAGCCAAGGGTGCTGTTCACAACAAAGTTATATAGGAGAATTGACTTCAAGCTTTATTTTTCCCAGATATCTGTATTACATTCATGTGATGTCTGGGTTTTTTGTTAATGCGAAGACAATATTTCTATATCTCTTTATGTGCTACACAAACAGACTTTATAGCAGACTGTTCCGACTGACTCTAATGTCAGAAAGAACAACCAAACTGTAAGTCCATTATACATCAAATTATGTGTAATTTATATAATAACTTATCCATGCCTGTACAATAGGTATGTTCCTGCATAAACAGGAAGGAATATATTATTATTATTAAAACAATATTTATGCATGCCTATACAATTGGTGTACCCTACATAGCTAGGGAAAAAATGTACTTTATTATATTATCTTTACTAAATATGCTTATTAATATTATGTGTAAATTATCGAATTGATGATGCCTGTAAACTGGCGTCCCTCATGTAAAAAATGAGAATATATATTATTATTATAGTGTTCTACTGAATCTTGCTCCAATATTCACAAAACCTATTCTTTTTACTCTTTAAGCTTTTAATTTCTAATAAAGTAATCTGTTCATTAGGACGCATGCACACATATATAATATGTTCATAATGATGTACGTGGAGACCTATTGGGAGCACTCATTAAGAAAGCTAGGGAAATGGAATATGAGGTACGAACTTATCTGGTACCAAGCAATATACTTGCGGTAGCCATAATAATCATAGTCTCAGAGCCTAACATCAAAAAGGAGGGAGGGTGGCGCTAGCTGATCAGTAGATATGGTGGTGGTCACTAAGGTGAATCACCCCATTCTGCAGGAACAGCAATATGCAATTTGACGGCTAGAGATTTTCCCGATTTTTATGAGGACTTAGATCTTTGTCTTGAAAAAGATAATAATGAACGCCCAGACAGATCAAGCCTCTGCCTTTAAATATATGTCATTCACTCAGCCTATTGTTGAGACGCGACCACGTGGGCTCTGCACAGATTTATGGAGCATCTTATAAATTAACTTGCTATCCATTTTCGGATCTTTAAAAACCACTTCACAATGTCTTATCTCATTCATTTTCTAATAACGTCTTTACTTGGTCCTCATTATATACCTGAATCATGGAAAAATATCAAGATCGTTCCAGTGCCTAAATCAACAAGTGGACCTAATGTTAAGTTTAGACCCATTGCTATTACTTCACCTTTTTTGAAAGTTATGGAAAGACTTATTTTACTTAATCTTGAACCCTCTTTAAAGCCTTTCAACGACCCCAACCAGTTTGCTTATAAACATAGTAGGTGTACGTTAGATGCCGCTTTTGTCCTTCACCATAGCATAGTCTCTAGTTTAGATAGAGGAGATAAATACGTTCGGTGTGCCTTCTTTGATTACAGGTCTGCATTTGACTCTGTTTCCAGGTCTCTCTTGCTAAGTGGGCTTGCTGCAACGCAGGCTGAGAGCTGGACAAATAAGTGGTTGCATTCCTATTTTTCTGATAGGAAGCAGTACACCGTCTACAATGGAAAGTCCTCCACTACCTCACTTACTTTAGCTGGTGTTCCTCAAGGGACTGTTCTTTCTCCCTTTCTGTTTTTGTTTTTCTTACATGACTTGCCTCATTCTGATGTGGCCACTTTTGTTAAGTATGCCGATGACCTCTCGGTTTCTATGCCTGTCAACTCTCAGTCGGATTGTTCCAAATTAAATATCTTTCTGTCGGAAATTAGTCAGTGGTCCTCTTCAAACGGTCTTAAGCTTAATCCGTCTAAATGTCAGGTAGTCAATTTCACTTTCAGACGTAAATCTGACCTACAGCAACTGGTTAGCTCACATGGCCCCACTATCATTGACGGCATAGAGGTTGAAAATACATCTAATGTCAAGTACCTAGGGCTGAGTTTTTCCACCGATCTTTCCTGGTCCCCCACCATCTTGCTAGTTACTAGAAAGATGTTTAGCTTAACCTTCTACCTTAGGAAGTTAAGGCAGTCTGGCATAAAGCAGTCTTTGCTTTCTCAGTTTGTCAATTCTTGTATTCTACCCATCCCCCTTTACTTCTCCCCATTAATCTTTCCTGGACTATTTAAGAAAGACTTTCCTTCGCTGAGAAGGGCACTAAAAGCTGTTAGTAGGGCAAGTGGGATATCGTTAAACCAACTGGTTAACACTATTGTAGATAGACATATTGCGTCATGTAAGAAACTAGCGAATACAATATTGTCGGACCCCGAGAATCCTCTCTATACGCATCTATCTCCTTGTATTTCATCTGGTAGAACTAGAAGTAGCTATAGGCGGGTATATGCTAGGACTACCAAATACAAAAACTCCACAATACCATATCTGGCACAGCTGTTATGTGATGAGAAATCCGTTAGGTATGGCATGATAAACTTACTGTGGCACTCTAACAAATAGTCCCATTAGTTTTTGTTTTCCTTTCTTCGTTACTATTGCATTGCTGTTCTCATCTTCTATCACACATCAAATTTATATTTCATATCCTGTGGTGCATTGTTTGAAATGTAAACTCTACGCTGTTTTTTTGTTTTTATTTATTTTTTTATTTATCTTTTATTTGTTTTTTGGCGTTGGTTTTTATTTATTTATTTTTTGATTTTAAAAATCTTATATAATTTATGCGGTAATTAAATGCAATATACTGTAATGCACGCTGAAAATTACATACCTCTACCACAAATACCGTTTGGAATAAAGCTGTTATTTATTATTAAATTGTCTCATCGTTTGTCTCTGAAGAAAAGAAGAAGTGAATTCTTTGGTTTTCTTCTTACCATCCAGTGCTCTCCAATGAGTGGACTAACTGTCCTATTTCCAGTTGTACCTACCAGTTCTTTTACTCCATTGGAGCAAGATTTATAGATTGTTCATTGAGTGTTTTGCCTGAAAGATTCAAGCAAAATTATGCTAAGTGACTGCAAACAGGCCACAGTGGGTTAATACGGAGTATATTTTCAACACTGGTCACCCATTGTTTAAAGACATCTCGTTCAAAGTCATTTATTAGGTTAAAAAATGCCTACTGGAAAAAGCAGTTTCCGTGTTCTTCTCGCTGCCGTTTGTATCTAAGACTGTAATTTGTACACACGCTCACTAGTATTGCTTTTTCAACTAACCTTTTATTGAATTGGTGGATGGTGACTAGCAGTAGAATCCATGATGCGCATTTCACCCTGTTTGGGACTCGTCATCTGGATGTACCTGCATTCCGCAGTGAGTGATGTTGTTCCCACTGAGGCTTAAACCCCAGGGTCCGACATGTCAACTTGAGACCGAACACTTTGGTCCAATCAATCGATGGGAAAATTTAAAATTGAATTAATCCTTTTATTTACTATTCATAAATGTTTTGATGGTCTGAACGATGTTGAAAACTGTTTTGACTGATTGAAGATATTACTGTATAGCACTGTCAGATTTTCTCAAAATAAAATTGCCTCCATAACAGAATTATACCCTATCACAGCGCCCAAGTTCTATTCTTATACGACTGAAGATGCACATTAAAAAGCTGGTTAATGAACAAAGAATATTCTTTCCGTTAAATTCGTCTCCAGGTTCTACATTTATATGACCACAATGATTAAGGAGTTATTGATATTAACAACATTAATGTTTCAAATTACATAGAATCAATAATATCGATTGATTAAATTTCAAAAGCATCAGTAGGTGGTAATATACATCAATGTAACACAACGCTGAGTTTAAGGTAAACTAAAAGAAGTAAAATAAAAACAAAATTAAATTTGTTTTTATTTTACTTCTTTTAGTTTACCTTAAACTCAGCGTTGTGTTACATTGATGTATATTACCACCTACTGATGCTTTTGAAATTTAATCAATCGATATTATTGATTCTATGTAATTTGAAACATTAATGTTGTTAATATCAATAACTCCTTAATCATTGTGGTCATATAAATGTAGAACCTGGAGACGAATTTAACGGAAAGAATATTCTTTGTTCATTAACCAGCTTTTTAATGTGCATCTTCAGTCGTATAAGAATAGAACTTGGGCGCTGTGATAGGGTATAATTCTGTTATGGAGGCAATTTTATTTTGAGAAAATCTGACAGTGCTATACAGTAATATCTTCAATCAGTCAAAACAGTTTTCAACATCGTTCAGACCATCAAAACATTTATGAATAGTAAATAAAAGGATTAATTCAATTTTAAATTTTCCCATCGATTGATTGGACCAAAGTGTTCGGTCTCAAGTTGACATGTCGGACCCTGGGGTTTAAGCCTCAGTGGGAACAACATCACTCACTGCGGAATGCAGGTACATCCAGATGACGAGTCCCAAACAGGGTGAAATGCGCATCATGGATTCTACTGCTAGTCACCATCCACCAATTCAATAAAAGGTTAGTTGAAAAAGCAATACTAGTGAGCGTGTGTACAAATTACAGTCTTAGATACAAACGGCAGCGAGAAGAACACGGAAACTGCTTTTTCCAGTAGGCATTTTTTAACCTAATAAATGACTTTGAACGAGATGTCTTTAAACAATGGGTGACCAGTGTTGAAAATATACTCCGTATTAACCCACTGTGGCCTGTTTGCAGTCACTTAGCATAATTTTGCTTGAATCTTTCAGGCAAAACACTCAATGAACAATCTATAAATCTTGCTCCAATGGAGTAAAAGAACTGGTAGGTACAACTGGAAATAGGACAGTTAGTCCACTCATTGGAGAGCACTGGATGGTAAGAAGAAAACCAAAGAATTCACTTCTTCTTTTCTTCAGAGACAAACGATGAGACAATTTAATAATAAATAACAGCTTTATTCCAAACGGTATTTGTGGTAGAGGTATGTAATTTTCAGCGTGCATTACAGTATATTGCATTTAATTACCGCATAAATTATATAAGATTTTTAAAATCAAAAAATAAATAAATAAAAACCAACGCCAAAAAACAAATAAAAGATAAATAAAAAAATAAATAAAAACAAAAAAACAGCGTAGAGTTTACATTTCAAACAATGCACCACAGGATATGAAATATAAATTTGATGTGTGATAGAAGATGAGAACAGCAATGCAATAGTAACGAAGAAAGGAAAACAAAAACTAATGGGACTATTTGTTAGAGTGCCACAGTAAGTTTATCATGCCATACCTAACGGATTTCTCATCACATAACAGCTGTGCCAGATATGGTATTGTGGAGTTTTTGTATTTGGTAGTCCTAGCATATACCCGCCTATAGCTACTTCTAGTTCTACCAGATGAAATACAAGGAGATAGATGCGTATAGAGAGGATTCTCGGGGTCCGACAATATTGTATTCGCTAGTTTCTTACATGACGCAATATGTCTATCTACAATAGTGTTAACCAGTTGGTTTAACGATATCCCACTTGCCCTACTAACAGCTTTTAGTGCCCTTCTCAGCGAAGGAAAGTCTTTCTTAAATAGTCCAGGAAAGATTAATGGGGAGAAGTAAAGGGGGATGGGTAGAATACAAGAATTGACAAACTGAGAAAGCAAAGACTGCTTTATGCCAGACTGCCTTAACTTCCTAAGGTAGAAGGTTAAGCTAAACATCTTTCTAGTAACTAGCAAGATGGTGGGGGACCAGGAAAGATCGGTGGAAAAACTCAGCCCTAGGTACTTGACATTAGATGTATTTTCAACCTCTATGCCGTCAATGATAGTGGGGCCATGTGAGCTAACCAGTTGCTGTAGGTCAGATTTACGTCTGAAAGTGAAATTGACTACCTGACATTTAGACGGATTAAGCTTAAGACCGTTTGAAGAGGACCACTGACTAATTTCCGACAGAAAGATATTTAATTTGGAACAATCCGACTGAGAGTTGACAGGCATAGAAACCGAGAGGTCATCGGCATACTTAACAAAAGTGGCCACATCAGAATGAGGCAAGTCATGTAAGAAAAACAAAAACAGAAAGGGAGAAAGAACAGTCCCTTGAGGAACACCAGCTAAAGTAAGTGAGGTAGTGGAGGACTTTCCATTGTAGACGGTGTACTGCTTCCTATCAGAAAAATAGGAATGCAACCACTTATTTGTCCAGCTCTCAGCCTGCGTTGCAGCAAGCCCACTTAGCAAGAGAGACCTGGAAACAGAGTCAAATGCAGACCTGTAATCAAAGAAGGCACACCGAACGTATTTATCTCCTCTATCTAAACTAGAGACTATGCTATGGTGAAGGACAAAAGCGGCATCTAACGTACACCTACTATGTTTATAAGCAAACTGGTTGGGGTCGTTGAAAGGCTTTAAAGAGGGTTCAAGATTAAGTAAAATAAGTCTTTCCATAACTTTCAAAAAAGGTGAAGTAATAGCAATGGGTCTAAACTTAACATTAGGTCCACTTGTTGATTTAGGCACTGGAACGATCTTGATATTTTTCCATGATTCAGGTATATAATGAGGACCAAGTAAAGACGTTATTAGAAAATGAATGAGATAAGACATTGTGAAGTGGTTTTTAAAGATCCGAAAATGGATAGCAAGTTAATTTATAAGATGCTCCATAAATCTGTGCAGAGCCCACGTGGTCGCGTCTCAACAATAGGCTGAGTGAATGACATATATTTAAAGGCAGAGGCTTGATCTGTCTGGGCGTTCATTATTATCTTTTTCAAGACAAAGATCTAAGTCCTCATAAAAATCGGGAAAATCTCTAGCCGTCAAATTGCATATTGCTGTTCCTGCAGAATGGGGTGATTCACCTTAGTGACCACCACCATATCTACTGATCAGCTAGCGCCACCCTCCCTCCTTTTTGATGTTAGGCTCTGAGACTATGATTATTATGGCTACCGCAAGTATATTGCTTGGTACCAGATAAGTTCGTACCTCATATTCCATTTCCCTAGCTTTCTTAATGAGTGCTCCCAATAGGTCTCCACGTACATCATTATGAACATATTATATATGTGTGCATGCGTCCTAATGAACAGATTACTTTATTAGAAATTAAAAGCTTAAAGAGTAAAAAGAATAGGTTTTGTGAATATTGGAGCAAGATTCAGTAGAACACTATAATAATAATATATATTCTCATTTTTTACATGAGGGACGCCAGTTTACAGGCATCATCAATTCGATAATTTACACATTATATTAATAAGCATATTTAGTAAAGATAATATAATAAAGTACATTTTTTCCCTAGCTATGTAGGGTACACCAATTGTATAGGCATGCATAAATATTGTTTTAATAATAATAATATATTCCTTCCTGTTTATGCAGGAACATACCTATTGTACAGGAATGGATAAGTTATTATATAAATTACACATAATTTGATGTATAATGGACTTACAGTTTGGTTGTTCTTTCTGACATTAGGGTCAGTCGGAACAGTCTGCTATAAAGTCTGTTTGTGTAGCACATAAAGAGATATAGAAATATTGTCTTCGCATTAACAAAAAACCCAGACATCACATGAATGTAATACAAATATCTGGGAAAAATAAAGCTTGAAGTCAATTCTCCTACATAACTTTATTGTGAACAGCACCCTTGGCTTAAAGTTTATTGATGTATTCTGTTGAGATCAGTGATATATTTATTCCATTTTTCAGCAGTCTTATTGTAGTTTCATAACAGGAAAGAAATTTGATCGTGGAGGCGAAAATTAGATAAGGTCATGTCGGGTTGTTTTACTGCATCAAATGGTCCCGAGGTCGATTCCAGAATTCCCCATTTGCGCCATTTGTGTCTGCATGGCGGACTGTACTCGTAAGTTGAGTAAAATGTTGAAAACCAGTTGCTTCTTTATTTCAGATCATGAATACTCATTTACATCGTGTCCACCAGCTTCTTTAAATGGTAGAATTGGATCGTTCCTGGAATTTGAGTGATTATGGGATAAATGGTTTGGAATTAATCATAGCAGTTAGAATACAGTTAAACATGCAGAGAAGTACTTTTGATTCAGCAACCGGTGAATTTTTTATTCTTTTCGATCTAGTACCAGAATAACTGCGAACCGTTCCATTCAATATGTCGAATAAGGCACGCAGGAGGAGATCATTACCATGGAATGAGTCAACTTGATCTGAGATGCAGCTTTCAGCATGTTTTCGTTATATCATAGATATCCAGGTTTATTGGCGCTGTAGAGGCAGTGATTTGGATTATGACGTATTCTACAAAGTCTCCGTGCCCATTTGAAGTATACATGTGCTTTGAAAGGATTACTTTGTTGGCTCCTACCCCCACTGAGTGTTAACAACAGCTGCTGTGGGTTTATGTATTTCCTCGCCTTTTTGGATAAAACATCGCCGCATTCTTTTTGGGTAGGAGACCAGTTGGTGGATTATAAATGATATCCAAGTAACTTTTATCTTTTCATGTGGTGTTGCGGTAAGTTTCTACCTTGTTTTCTCATATTTCATTCGTATGTTGATTATGGTTCGCCCTTTGTATCAGGTAGACATAGTTTGATCGACTCTTGGTTGAATGGGTGTTATTGTCATGACTGCTGCTTTTTTGTCTGGAATTATAAATAGAGACAAAACAAACAACAGGTGTAGTCTCTGAGTTCATACATTAAATGGGCCTATGATTTCTGAAACTCTTACATGGGAATTACCATTGGTATCAATTACAAACTCACTTAGTGTGTCATTAAGTGCCTTTTCAAAGGAGGCCAATGTGCTTGCTAGTCGTATTTTCTCAGGTAGTTTGTTCCATATTTGGGCATACCTAATCAAGAAAAACTTTTGCCTGGTGGCTGTTTTACATGGTTCTATAGCCACTGTACCTTTAGTGTGCCTAAGGTTGTATCCTGTGTTACCTGAGGACCGAGTATAGTTAGCAGGGGTATACACTATTTGGTTAAGAAGCTTATAGAAGAGTAACAGATTTAGTCGCAGTCGCCTTAACCATAATGTTTCTAGTCCCAGGATTTCACATCTGGTAGAGTAGTTTGTGCCGTTATCGGTTCCGAGTACTTTTCGCGTGAAGTACCTCTGTACTCCTTCTACTTTCAGTTTGTCTTCTATGCGTGTACTGCTGAATATGAATGAGCAGTAATCTAGGAGTGGGCGCACACATACCTTGTACAGTAGTATTCTGGACTCGTTTCTGTAGAAGTTCCTGAGTAGGAAACCAATAAGCCTTCGTGATTTCGACACTTGATTCGAGATATGCTCTGAAAATGATAGATTGTGTGAATATTTCAGTCCTAGGTCTAGTACAGATTTGAGTCTGGGGATTTTGTGGCCCTGAATTGCTAGGTTGAGGTCAAGGTTGGAACAGCCTATGCAGAGCCATCCACACTTTTCAACATTAAACTCAAGTCTCCACGTGTCACACCATCTATCCATTTTTGCTAATTCTTCATGTATGGAGTTCATAGTTGGGCCGATATCTGTATTTGTGCAGGTATATGTCACCTTCAAGTCATCTGCATACAGTATTGGCTTGCCTATACTAAAACATTCACATATACTGTTTATGTATATAATGAAAAGAAGGGGTCCCAATACACTCCCCTGGATGACACCACTGCTGATTGGTCTAGGTCTGGAGGTCATTGAGCCAACTTTAGTTGTCTGATTCCTGTCATACAGAAATGATTTTATCCAATTGTAGAGGGGGTTGCGTATCCCTAGTGAGCATAGCCTACCGACTAACAGACTATGTGGGACTCTGTCGAAGGCTTTCCTTATATCGAAATAGAGGATAATCACTAGCTCTCTCCTATCTCTTCTATAGGTGACTTCGTTGAAAAAGTCTATATGGCAAGTGACGCAAGATCTTTTCTTGAGGAATCCGTGTTGTGACAGGTTGATGAGTTTATGTTTTAGAAAGTAGTCTGACATTTGGTCTTTGATTACTTTCTCCATGATCCTTGATATGACTGGTGTTATATTGATAGGCCTATAATTACATGCACTAGTTTTGGCCCCTCCTTTATGCTTAGGTAATATATATGTGTTTTTCCAAGTTTCAGGGTAGGTTTCGGTCACTAGTGAGATATTAAATATTCTAAGTAATAATACAATCATATCCGTACCACCGTTTTTGTATATGACGGATGGTATATCGTCTATCCCACAACTACTGTTAGCTTTTAATGTCCTTACCGCCGATGCTATATTTTGTATATTAAAGTTTATTTCACCTAACTTGTAGTTATTTTTGCAGGTTATGTCGAGAATTGGGGACGGATGTGCTTTGGTGTTATTGGAGAACCACTCACTCAGGAGTTCACTAATGATCTGGGGATCATCATAAATTATATCTTCGTGTTCTAAATGACTGATATTGTTTTCTTCACCCTTCTTCATCCGTTTTTGCAAGATTTTGCAGAGTTCCTGGGTTTTAGAGGTGCCCTCTAGGGCTTTATTTTCCTCGACTTGTGCTTTCATTTTATGTCTCTCATCTAAATTTTTAAATATTTCGTGTATCAGGTGTAATGCATTAAATTCTTTGTATAAATAAAATCTCCTTTTTAGTTTCCTTAGTTTTATTCGCGTTTTGCGATCTATGAACAGAGTTGGTGTCTTTAGGGCAGATTTCAGGGGTGCGATTGTGTCTCTTACCGAACTGATTGTCTTGTAGAAGGTATTTAGTATTACTTCTAAGTTATTATTGGTGAAGTATTCACCCCAGTCTGAGCTTCTCAAGAGCATTGGTAGGAATTCCCAGTCGGCATTTCGATAGTCCCTATATTGATAGTAAACCGGGGAACTCTTAGGTGTGTGTTTAGTTGTTAGTTGTAAGGGTAGGGTGCAGTACAGTATGTTGTGGTCACTGTTGTCGAGTTTATCCCTCACCTCTATCGAGATCGGCTCTATTTTGTGACAGAGGATTAAGTCGAGTATATTGTTGTGTCGTGTTGGGAGGCGTACGCACTGCTTCCATCCTCCTACATCTATGGCTTCTAGGATCACCTCGTAGGTTCTCGGTCCAGTGCAGGTATCCCAGTTCACTCCAGGGAGGTTGAAATCGCCACAAACTAGTTTGTAGTCGAATTCCAGCTTAGGTACAACCTCTAGTATTTCTCCGATAACCGTATCAGTCGTTATAGGGCTGTTAGGGGCTCTGTATATACATCCCACAAGAATGTTATTTTCATTCGTGTGGATGCTTATCCACTTGGATTCTGGGAGTTTGTCGATAGTTAGGTTTGTAAAGGTATTGGAGTTAGTGGATTTAGAGGCATATATTAGACAGCCGCCTCCTCTCTTGTCTACTCTGTCATTCCTGTGGATGTTATAGTTATCAATTATCAGCTTTGTGTCAGGTATATCAATAGTAAGCCAAGTTTCAGTTACCAGAATCAGTGTTGGCCGCTCCATGTATACCAAGCTGCGAAGGGAAGTTATTTTGTTAAGGAGAGATCGAGCATTTAAAAGCATAATTTTCAGAAAACCAGGGTTGTTGGGATAGTTAGTAGGTTTTCTTGTTACTATCCCTAACTCCTGGTTGCCTATGTTATGTTCGGAGGGATCCTCATATGAGACATTGTCAGCGTGTTTACTATTCCCTGGACAAATTGTGCTGCGAGGGGGGCTATTGTTTGCTGCAGCCGAAAATAATCCTGTTGCATATTTTGACTATTAGCATCCATGGGTCGGCATCTGCGTTGATCTACTGGTGATATATGGTCTGCCCTGCAATTTGGGTTGTAGTTTGCTGGACCTGGGTACCCTGTGTTAAGACTACCCTGGTAGTTGTACCTCATGGGGCTTTCATAGCCGTATGCATATTGGCTCACGTCACGTGTGTGAGTGAAGTTATTGAGGGGATCAAGTGTCGACCTGTTCTCATTATGTTGATGAGGTTTAACATAGATAGTGCAGGAGTCTGAACGAAAATTTTCGTTAATATGGTGCCTATATGAGTCCCGTTTAGTGCCCCATGTAACCCGAGGATCCATTCTACGTTGCATTCCCAAGTTATGTGCGTTGTTAGGCATGTTACTTCTAGTCCGGGAAGGGGTATTCCTTCTCATATGCTGCGTGACGTCTTTGGGAATGTGCTTCGTTACCCATGCTTTGTCATTTTTTAGACTGACACGCTGCTTATTAGACTTATTACGAGGGAGGTATGTCGAAGTCTGGGGTGGGACTCTGGGTTTTGTGGTCTTTTTTGCGGTTTCTACTGAGGGACTCTCTGGCTTGGATCCAGATTGAGTGTGGTGTGCCAGTAGTTTCTGGTCAGCCATAGTTTGTGCGTCTATGTCAACCTCATGTAGGTCAGCAGGTTTTCGAGATGTGCTCTCGTGCACTCTAAGACTGCACCCAGTGGCACTGCTCTTACTGAGTTTTGGGTCGCTCTTACTTGCCGTTTTTTCTCCTAACACTATACACGTGACTTGCTGTGCTTCAGTGTCCGTCGACACTTTAGCACTGATACCAGATGTATTTCTCAGTGTTGTCAACTTTGTGTCGAAGGAGTTCTTGGTTGCTTGCCTTTGGTTTGGTGTTTTATCCGAGACTACTTTAATAGTCTTGAATTTAGTGGCAGTAGCCAGAAGATCTTCGGCCATCTTAAATCGTTCAGCTGTTATGTAGCTGTCGAACCTAAAGAGTATAGGACAAGGATGCTTTAGGTCTTTTTTGCTTAGGCGAATGCACTGACAACGTGCATTCAAGAGATTTGCAGCCTTCAGCAATGAGTGCTGGACTGACTTTATGGGCTCGCTATCCGGTACATTATACACTATTGCGTTTTGTTTTGAAGCCAGCCTTTTAACAACTTCGCTGGATAGAAAGTAGATGGCGTTTTCTAACTCCTTCGCATTTTCTGAGTGAGTATGAGTCATTCTAGAGGTCATATTAAAAAGCTTTAGGATTGTAGGATCCTGCAGTTCCTTTTTCATACGTGAGATAGTTTCGGGTATACATTCTAGTGAACTTAATTTCGTTTTTAATTCATCTATCTGTAGCTGCATCTCTTTAATTACGCACGTTAAGTAAGAGAGCTCTACTTTTTCAGACAGAACATCTTCCACCTGTATTACAGGGGTCAGAGTTATGTTCGAGGCTTTTATGTTGGGTGAACTACTAATAATATGGGGTGGTAATGTGTTATTAGACGAGCCGGTGCTATTTTCTAAATTACTGGTGTTCACACGAACACGCTTTTTAGAATTTTGAACCATCGTTATTAAAGATCAATTATTAGTAACCACTAAATGAATATAAGCGAAAACACGTGCAAAAGCGTCACCTGATTTGAACGTACCGGGCGTTATATACAGTACCACCGAACACAAGTAAATTTGTTTTTTCAACAGTTCACGTAACGTGCACAAAAAAGAATTAATTAGATGTACTTTTTTCCGATGTTCTGAACTTAGCATTATTTTACTGAATAGTAAATGGACAACATTTTTTTAAACAAAAAAGCTGATTTGGTACATTTTCCTCGACACAGTTCTTAGCGTTCTTGTCTTCGTTTCCGGGTGCGACAGGTACTGGACAGGAAACAAACGAAGCACGGAATCCAACAAACAACAACAAGGAAGCTATGTACAAACACCTTATTAGCATAGGCAGACAAACCAGTAGGCATACCATCCAGCCGCTCCGAAGATTTTTTTCACACGAAAGGGAACCATCGAGTTTTTTTACTTCCGGCTGGTTCTGTCTTAGGGTCCTCACCACCCCACTAGGGGGGAACGAGATGTAGCGGTAAAATATTCCCCAAAATTATTGACCACAGCAATCACTCACCCTTGGATGCTGACCACCACTGTTTAAGTCGACTTGTTTAGATGAAGGCTTCCGGTCAAGCATCCCCGCCATTTGGTACTCCGCCGTGTAACGTGCACGATCAATAGCTAGCTAAGCGTTCGTCTGAAGGCTTGTTTTGGTCCCGAAATATATCACTTAGTTTGGACGATCAAATATTGGCTCTTGCTTTGTTGTTGGTACGCCAAAATAATTTAGAGGCTGTGTACGAGAATTTCGTCAACCTCTAAAACACCATTCTCAATGGAGTTGAAGATTGAACGATCAATTCTTGGTTGTTTGCTCAAAATCAACTTCCCCAATTTTCGCGGAGACATCGATACACCAGTCATCGTCTCATCGGTCGCTGTTCAGAAAGAAGTCAGCAGAAAACCTTCAGAAGTAATATTGTAATATTTGTTCACAGACCTTAGTTGTAAAGTTGGCTATATGTTGGTGTTACAATAAAGAATCCTGGAGTCGCCAATTGGTGGTTTGGTTTTTGCGTTCGTTATTACTAAGCGTTTCTGAGAAACTTCAAGGAACAGCGTGAGCCCGAGTGCAGCAAGAGCTGGGCATTAACGGTGTGCGAGACGTGGCTGACTGTTTCTGACAGTGGAAACAAATTCTGACGGATTCAGACAGTTGGTGACAGTTCGAATAGTCACTGTTCATCTTTCCTGGTGCCGGTCAAGTCCTCTTTGAACAAGCAATATCCGGAACGTTTTTGGTATTCGGTCAAGTTCAATAATGCCTGGGTGAAAGAAGGGACAGAACGTCTTGGATGCAAACAGGAAAGTAAGTCATGGTGACTTGTCTGTTAATTGTAACGATGTGTCTGATGTTAAGCATGACATGGTTGATGTTACTGTTTCGCCGTTCAGGGATAATAGGAACATCAAACTCCCTAAATTTGAACCACGGTGTTTCGATGGAAACCCGGTTGATTATTTGCAATTCGTAAAGGAGTTTGAGATCATGCTGAGTAGTTTTTTATTAAGTGATGAATTGAAATTGATGTATTTGATGAGGTATTGCACTGGAGATGCTTCAAGAGCTATACAGTGCTGTAAGCTCATGCTCCCTAATGAGGGATACGCTGAGGCTATGAGCATATTACGTCAAAGATTTGGAAGACCTTCGATGATTGTAGAGAAATTATTCGAGGCTGTTAAGGGTAATGGCAGTCAACTACATGATGACTCCAAGGCACTTACTGAGTTTTTGGATAATCTGTTGATTTACAAGAATGCATTGGTTTCGATGAATTGCATGAGTGACCTCAACTCGAGTTTTATACCAGAAGTAATAGCGAGACGCCTACCTACTCGACTGCAAAGGAAGTGGGTAAAAATAAGCTCCCGCATGGAGGATGAGGGTATCGAGCCAAGGTTTAATGATATTCTGAAATTAGTAAACAATAGTGTCAATCAATCTATGAGCAAGTTTGCCAGTATATTGAATCTCGCCCCTAGAATAGAGCAGTCTGAGGGAAAAACACAATCATTGATGACGAATAGGCCTCAGAGAGGTGGATATCGAGAAGGATCTATGGTGTCTAGTATTGCATATAGACCTAGTGAGTGTAACAGGTTCCGTAGTACATCCTCAACATATAAGTTACAAGATGCAAGACAAACACGGTTGTGTTTTACACGTTTGCAGGAGGTGCATACAAAGGTGAGCTGTGAATCGGCAAGCAAGTTTAACGATAAGCTATATGTGAAATCCAGGTCTGACTCCGAATTGTGTGACGATAACGGTGCGGTCAAGAAGTCTGTAGTTGCAACTGGTAAGCCGTTGTTGAATAGAGTGTCACATAAGAGAGTTACAGTCTCAGAGGACAGTTCTGACTCCACAAGTTTACAAGGTATTTCTAGTCAGAGTGAAGGTATAAAATCTTTAGGGATTTGTGAGGAAGAACCCAAATCATCTACTGCTGTTATTAAAGAGTTTGAAAATGATGAAGTCGACCAGATAGATGATGGTAAATTGAATATTTGTGATAATGATCATGATAGTGCAGATTTGTCTTTGGTCGATCATGATGAGATGAGGGATATGCCTACTACTGCTAAGTTGAACAAAGGTTCTGTACAACTTGAAGGTGAATTAGAAATAAATGCAGATTCAGTTGCAGAAGGCACGCATACTTGTCAGACCGTCTGTGTAATTGATCAGCGTGTAGTCCACCTATCATCAGATGATAGTTCTAAACCCGAACTAGTAGTGAAAGACAGCAGTGGTGGTAATCTTGCAGTTAGACAACTATCTGAAAGCCGAACAAGAACAGCTTCTGATCCACCGCTAAGTTCATCAACTGGTATCACTCAGTCGTCGTTGGTGTTGTCATCCACAATGAAACCGACGCACATCAACTCAAGTATCTTGTGCAGTGACTATGATAGTATTGGTGCATTTGAAGGGACGAAAGATATTGCTCAGTTTCGTGAGGATAAGCCAAGTGTAAACGAGAGAGTAATTGTTAAATTGATTTGCATGAATAAAGGCATTTCTAGTTTCAAGTTACTATTTGAATGCTATTATCTTTGGTGTAAATTGCTCTGTGCCTACGCCTGGTTGACCAGATACGTCGTGTGTTTGTTCGTCATCTATATTCTACGACACAATGACATGAGCGTGTTGCCGTTCAGATTTGAAGATATAGCTGATAGGAGGAGGTCAGCAAATGAACTCTGCAACGATTTTCCAACCTAGAGCGTCAACCTGAGAAGGGTTGTAGGCGTACTGCTGTAAGTCCTACAATTCTCCAAAGGGTAGCGCATCAATGAGCAGTCCAATGTGCTCGGTGTGTGATTTTGTACATATGTTCATATTGTATATACTGAATTGACATCATCTGTCATCTAGCTGTTGGTAATTCTGTTTGTGTCCGGACGACTTCCACTTGGATCATCAACCTGAGAAGGAATGTAGGCGTACTGATGTAAGTCCTACAGTTCTTCAAGGGTAGTTTGTCATGCCGGAATCCACAACATTTGATGTAGTGATTGTACATATGTTTGTGTTAAATAGTTGTGTGAGTTCCAATTATCGTAATTGTTGGTTAATCTTGTTTGCGTCCGGAGATTCCACAACTTACAATCGTCAACGTGAGAAGGGTTGTAGGCCTACAGGTTTAAGTCCTGCATTTCTTCAAAGGAATTCCATCAAGACATGATCCGCGAGTTTTTGTGTACAGTTTGTATATATGTGTGGTGTGTCATATCAATTGTTTTTTGCATTCATTGTGTTTAATTGTTGTTTTCGTATCTTGTTGTTATTGCGTAATTTTGTTAAAATTTTCGTCGTGATTACTTCTGAAGTTGTTTCGAGTCTTCTACATCCATGAATGAATTGATTGATGTTAAGGACAGCAGATGGGTCGTATACGCCGGGGAGGCTAGGCTATTGCTGAGAATGAAATGCACACGGAGATAATTGTTAGCTGCGGTCCGACACGCCGGGGAGAAAGAGTGTAAACGACTGAGGCTCGCATACGTCACCGTTACTAGAACTGAGGCAGAATGAGTGACAAGCGATTGCAGTGGTAATTGGTAGTGAGTAGATACGAGAACGTGCGTGGAGTATCATGAGTTGGTGCTATGGTCACGTTGCATTCTGCGAGAGTCATTCTAGCAAGTGGCGATTGTGTTGCAAGAGGATGTGTCAAGAGGATACCTTTAACTGGGAGGCGCAGGTCGTCATCGATATGTGAGATTGTGCTGTGGGTATGCTTGTGGTGTGTTGGCTTTTCTGTTTGTTTTCCACTTCAGCTCTGTCCGTGTGACCCAGGTTCTCGCAATGGCATCCAAGTCAATGTGTATTGGTCGTGATGGAAAAAAGGAATGGATCCTTTTTTGCCGGGGAGTGTCAATGTAGTTGAAGATTGAACGATCAATTCTTGGTTGTTTGCTCAAAATCAACTTCCCCAATTTTCGCGGAGACATCGATACACCAGTCATCGTCTCATCGGTCGCTGTTCAGAAAGAAGTCAGCAGAAAACCTTCAGAAGTAATATTGTAATATTTGTTCACAGACCTTAGTTGTAAAGTTGGCTATATGTTGGTGTTACAATAAAGAATCCTGGAGTCGCCAATTGGTGGTTTGGTTTTTGCGTTCGTTATTACTAAGCGTTTCTGAGAAACTTCAAGGAACAGCGTGAGCCCGAGTGCAGCAAGAGCTGGGCATTAACGGTTTACGTGACGTATGTGACAACCATTCATGAGTAGACAATTAAAGGTGTCGTTTAACTTCTTTGCATTCTCTCCCGTCTTACTCTCCTGACAACTTTAACTACACTTGTTATTATTGTCATTATAACCGATATATATCTATAATTCATATTATTCTTCAAGTTTAATCGGCTGACTGTTGTTACGCTTTCTTATTTCTTTTTCTGTCTGTTAGTCCGAATAACTTCACTAATTGTATCTAATATTATTATTATTACTATTATTATTATCTCATTTCTTTGTCGACGATAACGCAGGACTAACTGGTGAAGGATCAACTCCATTCACAGTAGTAACAGTCTTAACACACTTCATACTATAAGCCACATATAATTAATCCCAGCACTACTCCCTTTGGAGTCAACCAGAGCTACGACAGTCGAGTGGCGGGACAAGCTACGCAGAAGTTTACCGAAGATCAGGAACCTATACTTTACAATCAAGGAGCGAGCACAAAGAAATCAAATTGGTTTATACTAGCGCGTAAAAACGATATTGGATAGTGGATATTAGATTTCATATCTGGGTTTCATATCTGAAATTTAAGCCGAAATCGAACGATAACCTGTCAACTACATTGCGTTTATAACCTATTCAGATTTAGTGTATTATGAACAAATCTGAACTTAAAGTTTTCCTGATAGCTTCGTAATACTTTGGGTACTTAAAACCTGCATCACTCTTACGTTGGTTCGTTAAGTCAGAGTTGAGCATGAGTCCCTGAGGAGGCTTTCTGGCTAATAAAATGCTGAATTTGCTTATTAATAATAAATGAAAATTACCTTTTGTTGCCTTAGAATGGTTTTATTATTCTTAGTTGAGGAAAATGTTTGTTTATCTTTTTTGAATTTTGCACGGATTCAATTCCAACGTGGCCAGTGTAAGTATTCGCGCCTTCAATTGCGCGTGTGTCCCCACTCATTCACGCAGTCAGGTGAGTTACTTACAGTTTTACATGGTGTCATTGGTACACCACTTCGAATAAATTATTATTGGGAACTTTGAATGCACGAATAGTTTCCAGGCAGCCAACTATTGTGGACAAGGCTAATTCTTGTGAAAGGCGGTACATTTGTACAAAAAGTGTTTGGAGTATTGAAAGAAGAAAGTGGATGCTGTTGTTTTAAGTGCTGCAAGGATTCTGGAGTCCCAACATTCTCCAAAGTAACCACCTTGTAGCGTCAGTATCTGGTGCATGGAAGTAGGTTCGACCCAGAGACACGGGGATGGATTCAGGTGAAACGTAGTTGTAAGGCTTTTTGTTGGGGTTTTTATAGATGGCACTTACAAAAAGGACGCATATCTGGGAGCACCAAGGTCACTCGTGGGTTTTTTCAAGTGAACCCTTACTCCTGAGAATATTATATGCAATATACAAGCTGCGCTTATTATTTGTGTCGTCACCTTAATGCATTGACCGATAGAGCTAGACTGTGTTTAAGGCTGATCTGACTCGTCGTTTATTCGCAGAGTCAACTGAGCCACATAATATATTACAGGTAACACAAACCCATCTATGTGACACTTTCAAACAATACCACACATATGCTCAGTGTAGTTGGAGCAGCTCTTATTTTGTGTCATTTTATCACTTTATCTTTGTTTAATTCTTGAGATAATGTTGATAACATGGCTAAAGCGTCCTCAAATACTCTAAGAATGTGCATCACTTCAAGTCGGATTCTTTTACAACGGAGAAGCAACAAAAGGGCAAGTTATTAACCGGAGAGTGTTGTGGGGGGGAAACCGAAGGTTCTGCCATTGGCAGAGCAATGAAGGATTCAAAACACTACGAAATGATTTTTAAGTTGGCGTGAAAATAATAGAAGGGTAGGCCGAACATCCTGCAGTGTTGTTTACTTATAAGGGATAGCAGGAAACCAGTTTGTACTTGAATGTGTTACCACATTCACTAACTAATCGATTCTCAAGCTCAGTTTTGGAATAAGTAGAACAGCGGTTAGTCTTAAGTTTGCGTCTAATTTTGAAAGTTAACATTTGTACGCTGACAGATTCAGATGGATGATCTGCAGATACATGTATCTTGCACAACAGCTCGTGATGGTGAAATATATCGATCCCACAACTTGATCGACCTGGTCAAGATATGTGTTAGAAGACACCAGCTTATGGCCGATGTTATTTGATTTTTTAAAACGTTTTGTATTTTCCAGGTCATATACTAATGTCGGAAAGGTCATGGAACTCAATAAAACAAGAGGACTGTAAAATTGAGGTTGGAACAGGTAATTCTTTTTTAGGTGTGTTAAATTTGTATGTGATATAAATTAAACACATTATTGGTATTATTATTCATTTCTTACTCTGAGAGAAACATGAAGTTTTTGTGGCACATCAGCATCTAAGTCGGTTCTCTGTTATTATTTTCATTTGATTCTGTGAAAACTCAGCCTTTTACTTCTCCACATGATCTTCATGTTGCCTACGGTCGCCCAACTTGTTGCTACCTATTTGGGCTATATTAGAGGACCTGAAGTTTAGTGTTACAAGGAAGTTTTCTTGGAGTATGCTCAATCCTTTTCCTCCTGTAGTTTTTGTTGAGCAACAGATTTTTACCTGTTTCGTTGTGTGAATTCCATTCCCTTTGTCTTTTGGTAGTCATCTGATCTTCACTGCCAGGCTGACACAGTTTTCGGTGAAAGGCGTCAGTATCCTATTGCAAATGTTTTAGTGATTCGTGCTCTAGAATCACTGACATGGTAATAGACTCATAAATTTGTATCTTTGTCGTTTTGCTAACTGTTGTATATCACCACACTTATTGAGGAGTGATGGACGTCAATCCTGGTTTTGATACCCTAATCCATGTAGTTAAAATGACTGACAAGATTAGTTAACTACATGGCTTCCTTTTGATCTGTACCGTTGGTTGGGTATTTCCATCATGTGAAGTCTTGTCTTTTACCAACTTGTTCCTTTTCTGTTGTATGTCTTCTAGTTTGTGCGACGTGAGACAAATCATCTGTGGAATTCATATCTAGTGTCTTTTTGTCATTCCAGTGTATACCTGTCTTCCACTCTCCATTGTCTGTTGCGTGACCCAGTCGACCACAATCAGGACGATGATAGATGATAGAGGGTGGCCTTGTCCTGCTTCTGTTTTCACTTCAGATTCTTTCCGGTTGTCTTTACGTTGTGAATTATTTTATCTTTGGCATCGTCATAATAGTAATTGAATAACGTTTATAGACGTTTGTGGTACTCTCTAATGTTGATGCAGTTTCCGAACCACATCGATGAGGTTAATGTGAAGAGTTGTCTGTGACTCTGAACAGTGTTCGATGATGATGCGTAGTGTTGCAATTTAGTCCGCAAATGGAGTTTTTCTTGCTGAATTCGGTCTATTCCCTGTGAAGCCTTCCATGCTTGACACCTTTCAGTCTTTCCAGTATGATGTAGTTTGATACTTTGTCTGAGGTAGAGGTAGGTAGCATGATTTCACACTTGTTCTTGAATGGGATTGTATCACACTTTAACTCAGTTTTAGATGGTAGCCATTATTCCAATCGCTGTCAGATTTAATTCATTCGGTACCCACGTTAGTGGCGTGAGATTGTCTCTTGAAGTCTCTGTGTCGACAATGTATCTTCCCTTGTGGCTTCCTGTTGGTCTTGGTTTATTCGGGAACCAAAATATCTATTTCGTGATGTGTTCGACAATACCATCCATCGTTGCTTGATGCTATCATGTTAATACATAAGTCGCGTAGAACCAGTTCATATATATATATATACGTGTAAATTCTCTAAATTCTAAGTATCTATCAGTTTTGAACCGCTTTTTGCTTTGGAAGTGAAAGAGAACGAACTTTAATAGATCAAAGTAGGTGGCTTGCACCTTGTACAGTAACCAGCCCAGCTATATCGATCTGGTAGAACTAACTATGATTGTCAAGTGTTATTTAGATGTAAAATGTTAATCTCTTAAAACTTTTTGTATATTTCAGTTGATGTGATAAAGCCCAAAAGTCCAACTGAGGCGAAAGAAAAGAACCAAGTGGGAAAGTCTGTGGTAGTTCCAAGAAGTAAGACTGTGTTTATCGACCTGTTGAATATGTATTCACCATGCTTTATTATTTATTGTCTTTCAGAAATTTTATTGCTTAGCATTCCCAGTAGAATATAGAGTTTCAGGCTTCAGCTTTGACGTTTCAACAGCACAGTAGTATTTCCTTTATAATAGATAGGGTTGTTAATCTTAACCTTTCTCCGTTTCCGCGCTTAATGGCGCCTAAATTAGGCGCTCACCATTTCGCTCCGTCCTCCTCTATCACTCTGAGAAAATGACACTGAAAGTGGAAGACATGCAAAGCCTCAGGATGGTCGGGGGTGGGTGTATTGCGCTGCGGGTTGGCCACCCCTCCGTACACCTCTTGAAATGCTCCCATATAACCGGGCGTCTTACATAGCCTCTCCTGAGGAAGTACTACTCACTGCCTTCACGTGGCGGAGGTGTTTTTCACCAAAGTGAGAGGGCAAAAGCGGATGCCCCGCGCTCTTCACCGGGTTGACTGTCCATTGGATGACAGTCTAGGGGAGATGGCTAAACCCTGATTCCAAACCTCCAACGACTGGCGTATGAAGCTCACTGGAGCTCACCGGCAGACGTATGGACAAAGGACTTATTGGATGCCCTGGATGACTGGCCCCATTCAAAAGGGCGAATGAACCGGACTCCGGTCACCGGCTTCCAATGGATAGTCTCTCCCTACTCCACTCCTACTTCCTTGTAGGTCACACTTGGTTGTGTAAAGGCTAGAGCTGCACTCTCAAACAAAAGGCTGAGCGATGCTGGGGACATCACTCGTACCCAATTCCCATGAAACTTCATGGTTCATGAAGCCGGCTCATCCTCCCATAGGAGATAACCGAAGTAAAGTAAGTAAGAAGACATGCAAAGACTAGCTGTCCCTGATCATAGGTGTCTACATTCTATCTCCATTGCTAGTTTAGGTGGTAGAATGAGGTGAGGAATATTGAAGTTAGGCGCCAAGTGTTAGACCAGGAAAGGAAATCAATCGACGAACTTGTAAAGTTTCACTGATGACCAATGTTAGCTGACTTATCAGGCTGGAGAGTAGGTAGCACATGATGGTCAAACCAAAACATGTCTTCATCAGTCAGTGAAATCCACTACTACAGTTAGTTTAAGCCGGCCATGTATGGAGGTATAGACTTCCTGACTGACTGGTTGGGGTCCTCGGGAAGGTAAACACAGATGGCTGAAGACAGTTGTTGGTGATATAACTCGAAATGGTTCTCAGTGATGTCTGGTGCAGATGCATTTACTACTTGTGATTTGTCACATCCAATGAAACTCAATTGTTCTTCCATATTACCAATCTTTTGCCTCATATCTCTGTTTATTATATCTGCTTTGAAGCTTTCTCTTCTCTCCGCTCGCTCTGTGGGGTACAAGGAAGGAGTGTGGCAGGTGAACTGCTGCACATATGCGCAAAGTTTTATATGGAAAAAGATCATTCAGCCAGTACTAGATTACTTAGTAGAATTTTCTATTTTATTGATAATAGTGTCCACAAGTTTTTTTAACTTCCTCATATGGTCCTGTTTTAATATGTTGACTGACCTTGTTTATGTATTCTGATTTGTCCATGACTACTGTTGTTGTATTTCCCTTGTCCAATTTTGTGATCACTATGCTATTTTGTCGTTTCTCAAGCATTTAGAGCTGCTATTTCGTTTTGTAATACATTGCTTTTTCCTTTCTTCTGAAGTTTTTAGTGTCAAGCCACATTGTGCTCTGACTTGTTCCGCAGAAGTTTTGTCTATTTCACACATATTGCTGCTTCTATAGGGGGAATAATGTCTTCAGATTTTAATCTGTTGACAGCCACGTTTTTAATCGTGCTCCACCTTGGTTGTGGTGGAGATGTGTGGATAACACATTCCATGCATCACTGTGTTGACACCTGAACGTATCCCTCATTTTTTCACACACACACACACATATCAACTCAATAGCAATCCAATAGGAATCCAATTCACTTGTCAGCTGGAAAATGAACAGGGTAAAACACAAAACAAGATGGTGGGTTAGATACTCGCTGGGATTTATAGGAGACTGACACACACTCAAACAAATAATTAGACCCTTTAATTCATCCCATCCAGAAGCGGTTAAGAAGCATAGGATTAGTTTTTTCTGTATAATCGGGCCAACAGCCGAACTAGTGAGCTGGAGGAGGATTTAAATAATGAAATCGAACAAATAAAGGAAGTATTGGTAGCGAATAACTAACTAACTACCCACCAGAATTTATTCAAAAATATGCATAAATAGACATGAAAAAAAATCTAATATTATAAAACAACAGACGCTCGGCGAAGAGTGTTACTCTTTTCCGCGATATCCATTCTCATGTGTTGTACAGTCGCATATATACAGCTAGCTGATTCTCTTAGTAACAAAATGAATATTTCAAGAATTTGTCACGAGAATTGTAAATTTCAGCTGACAAATTACGTAATAGAGAGAGCGTTAATCAGGTAGAAACTTAAGCATAATTATTAGAAGTGTAAGTTTTCGAGATAACAAATTTCGTCAGTGGGTTAGAAACTAAATTAGGATTAAATGAGCAAGTTAGTTGAATGACGTAATCTAATTGACGGAGTTGAGTAGAGCTCAGCTAAAATTAAAATTAACTGAACTAAAGTCAAGTTAACACCAATGGTAATAAAGGGTAGGGAAAAATATTATACAACTAAGAAACAAACAAGTGAAACGAAAGGCGAAAAACGTTATGCAATTGGTGTTAAGATAGGTCAAGTCCACTGTAGATTTAATGACTGAAGAAGCTTCTTTTGTATTCAGAGTTCAGGTTTTAATATGTGGATTGCCATTGCTTCTGTGGTTTGAAGAAGTTTGGTTCGTACCCTGTTGACAAGTTTCTCGTGTATTCCTTAGATGGCTTTGAAGTTATTTTGCGGGTTTTCTTGGTGTTGTGATTCGATCAGGTGTTCCAGAATAGAGCTTTGTAGAGGGGTTCTTACTCCTCTTTTGAAACCATGAGGGTAAGTGTTCGGTGATACGTTTGGATAGCCGACCTTCCGTAGCTACAAACGTGTAGGTAAATTGGTAGATGCGTATTGATGAGGCCAAAGTTCACGCGAATCACTGGTTTTGTGGAGAAGGTTAGTCGAAGTTCAGCCGCGAAGAAGGTTTTCCTCAGTGAGCAGGACAGGTAGTTTCTCAGTATTTCTGCTTATAAATCTCCATTGAATTGTAGATTCAGGTAAAGCAGTTTTTTGGGAGCAGACAATGTAGGCGGTTTGGTGGTTTAGGCTTCATAGATTTTGTGATAAAACGTTCTGGGTAGCCGTTTTCTATGAAGATTCTCTTCAGAGTATTTAGCTTCTCTTCTGCAGTATCACAACTGCAAATGCTGCGAATTCTGTGGTTCATTGAATGGATCTGGTTTAGTTTTGTTCGTAGAGGAGCCCATCTGTGAAAGTTAGTAAGTTGTAGAATCCAAAGTTGTCAATCATTTTATTTAGATGTGTGCTTCTTACTTAGTTTTGACATGAAAAAGTCTGCGAGCAACGGGCCGAATGGCGAGTCCACAGCTATACCGTCTTTTTTGTCGATATATATAGATATATGGTTATTGAAAGAGAATTGAACGTTTAGGGTGCATCTCAATAGGAATTCCTTCAAATATTCAGTAGGTATACTGATGTTCGTCTGCTTTGAGTCAATATATATTCACATATATAGCATATTGTTTCGGTTAGTGGGACGTTTGTAAACACTGATACCACATCTAGTAAGAACATGGTTTGATTGAAAACATTGACGTCTTCAATGGAATTGACAAAATCGAAGGAATCTCGGAGTAAGTGGAGTAAGTGGTAAGAGTAAGGAAATCCGCCTTCTGACTGGTTCCAGTAGGTCTACTAGCCACTAGGCAGTACGATGATTTGGTGAATTGGTCACATCGAGAATGGGTCGAAGAGGTATATCTTTTTTGTGCAATTTTGATAATCCGTAAAGATAACTAATCAGACTTCTTCAAACCACAGAAGCAATGGCAATCCACATATTAAAACTTGAACTCTGAATACAAAAGAAGCTTCTTCAGTCATTAAATCTACAGTGGACTTGACCTATCTTAACACCAATTGCATAACGTTTTTCGCCTTTTGTTTTGCTTGTTTGTTTCTTTGCTTTGGAAGTGAATGAGCACGAACTTTAATAGATCAAAGTAGGTGGCTTGCACCTTGTACAGTAACCAGCCCAGCTATATCGATCTGGTAGAACTAACTATGATTGTCAAGTGTTATTTAGATGTAAAATGTTAATCTCTTAAAACTTTTTGTATATTTCAGTTGATGTGATAAAGCCCAAAAGTCCAACTGAGGCGAAAGAAAAGAACCAAGTGGGAAAGTCTGTGGTAGTTCCAAGAAGTAAGACTGTGTTTATCGACCTGTTGAATATGTATTCACCATGCTTTATTATTTATTGTCTTTCAGAAATTTTATTGCTTAGCATTCCCAGTAGAATATAGAGTTTCAGGCTTCAGCTTTGACGTTTCAACAGCACAGTAGTATTTCCTTTATAATAGATAGGGTTGTTAATCTCAACCTTCCTCCGTTTCCGCGCTTAATGGCGCCTAAACGAGGCGCTCTTCATTTCTATTTTTATTTTTTTTATTTTTGAATTATAGCTTGATTCCACACTGTATTTTCGGTGCAAGTATGGAATTTTCAGGATGGGTATCGGTAGCCCAAACTTTGCAGGCCGACCATAGATATCAGATGTGCGTCGGTGCGGGCTCGAACCCGGACCATGTGCATAGTCGGCGAGAGTCCTAACCACTGTGCCACCGACGCTCCGTCCTCCTCTATCACTCTGAGAAAAAGACGCTGAAAGTGCATGACATGCAAAGGCTAGCTTTCTCTGGTCATAGGTGTCTACATTCTATCTCCATTGTTGATTTGGGTGATAGAATAAGATGAGGAATATTGAAGTTAGGCGCCAAGTGTTAGACCAGGAAAGGAAATCAATCGACGAACTTGTAAAGTTTCACTGATGACCAATGTTAGCTGACTTATCAGGCTGGAGAGTAGGTAGCACATGATGGTCAAACCAAAACATGTCTTCATCAGTCAGTGAAATCCACTACTACAGTTAGTTTAAGCCGGCCATGTATGGAGGTATAGACTTCCTGACTGACTGGTTGGGGTCCTCGGGAAGGTAAACACAGATGGCTGAAGACAGTTGTTGGTGATATAACTCGAAATGGTTCTCAGTCATGTCTAGTGTGGATATGTTCACCATTTCAGTTGCTGAAACGTTGGGGAAAACTGGGATTAGCAATAAAAATGAGAACAACAGGCATTTGTAGCACCGGCGTATGAATAGGGAACATTAGGGTCTTGTATAGGGTTCTAAATGAAGCTAGAATGATGAATCCAGTTGACTTTTAAAGCAATCAACCACCTATTTCACTCAGAGTTGAACTTTTTCGGCTTGTGGAGCCATTAGATCCAATTAAGAAAAATAAGGTAATTATCCAAATACCGTGTGATGATCATAAGCGAGGTCAGTTACAACACAGATCAAACTAGTAGATCGGTGTCAAGTTGATTATTGGAATATAAAAGTGAGCTAGACCTAGCATAATTGACCCTATTAAGTAAGTTAAATAACCTAGAAAAAACAGACCTCAGCCATTGCACTGCACTGCATTCACTTGCATGTAATCACAAAATAGGGTTTGGTGAGGCATTACAAGTAATATATTTAGGTGAATTGAAAGGGAGGTTAATAATTGAAGCGCATGATGGAGCATTTGCCAAAATGGTTGAAAAAAACAGCTGAATGCAAAGTGCCAAAAGCCTGAATAAGAAAACATCTTTCATGATTGCAGACGAGTGTCAGCTGACGAATTCTACCGAAATCTGATGAATTCCCAATGAATTCCTGCTTTATTAACCTTTGTTGCTTGTTTTAAATTCGTATTGGGAAATAAATGTTTTCGACTCATGAAATATTTGAAACTATTTCAGGAGTGTTTTGTCGACAGTGTGACAAAAACTTTGCAAAGAAAAGTCATCTGGACGAACACATTCGTGTTAAACATGAAGGTTAGTTTATGAAAACACATTGAAAGATTGTTGTTTTTATTTGTATGATACCGTTTTGTTTCACTGCAAACTACGCAATCACTTCTAAGCTTACGCAGCATTCAGTTTGGTTAGAGATGGATGAATCAGTGTTATGATAAAAAGCCGAACTCCAATGGCTTTGTCGTATGTTCGCAGTTTTCATGGATGAGGTTTATAGCATTCTGGAGTTAGCTCTGAAGGACTTGAGTGGTGGTGGTGTAGATCTGCTTCTTGGAGAATTGTTCCATTGTTCGATCTCAAGTATGTAGATGATATCGTCTCAGTGTGTGATAGCACGTGGGCTGCCCTAATTTCACTTAACCGGTTGGCAATAAGTGTCTGTAAGTATGCTATGTGCTTTGCGCCATTTAAGTGCAAAGTACTGTTACAAGATTTACAGGACCTGCACCTCCACTCACTATTGCAGGTGGAGCGCTTAAATTTGTCAATAAGTCCGTGTATCTGGGTAGTTGTGTGGGTGCTGGCGGCGGTGTGACTGTCGCGATTTCCGACCGTGTCATGTACGTTAGAGTGGCATATGCTAATTCGAGTCACCTCTAATGCTGTTGCGACGTTAGCCTGACTGTCAAGGGTTGGGTTTGTAACTTTTTGGTGCGCGCTGTCTTGCTCTACGCCTATGAAACCTTACCCTTCCGAACTGAGGATGTGTGGTGACACTGCCTATTCGACCATCTCTATCTCCGTATAATTGCTTGCTTTGTATGGCATCATTGTGTGAGTAATTCGGAGGTCCGACAGCTTGTATTTGTTCACAGAAGAGATCACCATTTATTGAGTGTTGTCGTCTGGTAACACCGGCTTCGGTGACTTGGGTATGTTCTATGAACGTCATCCTAGAGGCTTCCGTACCGGTCTGTGTTCACTAGTCCTGGGATGGAATGGAAAAAGTGTAGAGTTGGTCAGCCCATGATGTGGCGTCGTGGAATCAAGGCTATCTGGGGTAGGTCAGCATCTGTTGGTACATCCCGACCCCCTATCTAGCGTCCGAGGGACATCTCGAATCGGTGGCTCCAAACGTTATCGAATGTGGCCAAGAATCGCCATCATCAACGGTGAAATTGCTGCAATTTCCTTCTTTCTCCCCTTTCTGGCAATAATTCGAAGAATGCTGTTTGGTCTTGTTAATTAAAAACTCCTTTATTAAATATCTACCTATTTTTTCAAGTGTGTTGGAGTTTTGTTACTATTGTATGGCGGCGCATCTTGATGTCTATGTTGCACCAGGTTTTGTGTTTTAAATGCTCAAGTAATTATTACCTCCTGTTACGATTTTATCAGTCCACTTCCTTCCTCTTTTGGGGGTTAGAGAGTAGTCGAGGTATTTTCCGACGTTCATGTTTACTTGAAGTTTACATGAAATTGTGTGTTGATTGCTGTATGACGTAATACTTCTTGATATACTGTGTTTATTACATTCACTCACAAGGTAAAGCCTACGAATGTGTAACTTGCCATAAGAAATTACAAACACATAAAGGACTTAAAATACATCGAAAACTTCATGAAGGTATGTGAAGATGTTGATTTCTTTAGTTGTTTTTTTTCAATTTCATTATGTGATTTGTTGTTTTTATCATAGTTTTAGTTTTTTTGTTCCACTCTTAATATTCTTATTGCTGAGTTTTCTTTTTTCTTTTTCCTTCACGTTCCCAGTGGAACATAAGGCACCTTCAAGCTAGTGGCTTGAAGTTTCTGTAGCAGTGTTTAGTTTTACAGGATGGGTTTGCTAGCTAGCTTCATGCCCAACCTTTCTTCTTTACTAGCATTATTTCTGGCTTAGCTAGGTAAAGGAGTGCGTTGGCGGCCGGAGATCGAACCCTGGACCGTGTATGTGGTCGGCAAGCGCCCTAACACTACTGTGGCATCGACGAACAGTTAAAGCGTTCGGCTGCTTTCAGCGTGCGTCTCCAAAGTGTGTGTGTGTCGGGTTTCACCTAATTCCGAGTGATTGATTTCAACAAAGAACTTTGGACACTTGTGCAGCAGCTCAAGTTGCTACTCTCGATGTACCACACAAGGCAAGAGAAGAGAATAGAGAGAGATAATCAACAGAGATACAAGGCAAAAGAATAATAACATGGAAGGACACTAGAGTTTCATTGGATATGGCAAATTACATCTGCGGCTGCCTTCACTGAGAGCCATTTTGAGCCATATCACTAACAATTGTCTTCAGCCATCTGTGTTTACCTTCCCGAGGACCCCAACCAGTCAGTCAGGAAGTTTACACCTCCCTATGTGACCGGCTTAAACTAACTGTAGTAGTGGATTTCACTGACTGGTGAAGACATGTTTTGGTTTGACCACAATGTGCTAGCTCTTCGCCAGCCTGATCCATCCTATGTCACTCGGCTAACATTGGTCATCGATGCCATTGCCTTCCTCGAAGAGCAATGTTAGCGAATATAGGGTCAGGCTGGAAAAAAGCTAGCGGAGGTCACACAAAAACTTGGCACCAGTCAATGAAATCCACAACAGTTGGTCTAAGCCATGTAGGAAAGTGTAGACTTCCTGACTAGTTGGGGTCCTCGGGACGGTAAAAACAAATGGTTAGAAACAATTGGTGACATGGCTCAAAATCGTTCTCAGTGGCAGGCGTAGATGCATCCACTCCTTGTGAATTATGATTTCCAATGAAACTGTTTTGTTCTTCGTTATTACTCTTCCTTTGTCTCACACCTCTGCTTACTGTCTGTATTATGCTTTCCTTGTCCTTTCTTCTCTTGCTTTGTGTGCTACAAGGAGGGAGTGTGGCGACTTGAACTGCCGCACATTTGTGCAAAGTTCTATGTCGAAAACAGACAGACAGAGACAGGTCATCGATGCAACTTCACAACCTCTTCGATTGATTGTCCCTCCTTGCCTAACACTTGGCGCCTAACTTCAATATTCCTCACCTTATTCTACCACCTAAACTAACAATGGAGATAGAATGTAGACACCTATGACCAGAGAAAGCTAGTCTTTGCATGTCTTCCACTTTCAGTGTCTTTTTCTCAGAGTGATAGAGGAGGACGGAGCGTATTGCTGACCAGTGCACACGTTCTTTGGTCGAAAGTCGGATATCAGGTTTACTCCAGAGATAGCGTTATTTGGTGTATGCCAATCGAGCCATTTTTATCCATGCTGAGGTGTCGTCAGCTATCAACCCGCTGGGACTGATGTATTTTCATCTAATTTAGCCTATCTTGGCGACTGCAATAGTATCAATAATCCCTATACATTACATGAGATTTAATATTCATATCATTCCTTGAATTCTTCTCTGTCGGGAGTGAATGGAGCCAGATGAACAACTTCACTTTTGAAAGAGAGAAGTGAACATCTTGACGAACCATTCAACCAACGTGAAAACACTGGAGCACTAATGGTAAAATGTAAAGCCTGAGTGGTCGTATACACTCAGTTAATTTAATTTAATTTTTTTTATTTTTGATTACAGCTTGATTCCACACCGTATTTTTGGGACAAGTGTGGAATTTTCAGCGTGGATATCGGTAGCCCAAAATTCGCAGGCCGACCATAGATATCAGGTGTGCGTCGGCGTGGGCTCGAACCCCGGACCATGTGCATGGTCGGCGAGAGTCCTAACCACTGTGCTACCGACGCACAAGTGCTAAGACACTCTAAGTTTCAATGTCAGCTTTGTGATCCATCAAAAAATCACTGCCTATTAAGACGTTCTATGTAATATTATACCACATACTAGAAAAGAGTAAGTACAGGTGTAGCTTATCGCATGAAGACTGGGTAACAGACTTTGTCAGTTAACTTTATGATATCTACACTAGCTCAGTGGAGTGCTGCAGGTTTCTGCAAGAATCCCCTGTAGATACTACAGGATGACGCTTCTATGTCAACTAAAAACAACGCATTTACCCCGTTCATTGATGCTTTAAGCATGAATGAGAACTGCGAACATGATCAGGACGTGAAATTTTTGAAAACTAGCTCACATTGTACGGACATTCCACGTCCCCCCTCATTCTTACCCTTGCTTTCATCGAGAGAAGATACATCACTTAGCTAGCTGACTGGCTTCCCGAAGGCTGGCTTTCAGATCTTCAGCCCACTGTGTCATTTCGTCTCTCCGATTCCAGCAAACAATAAGTTCATCTCTTATAATTCTTTGTATTTGTAATATTTTTTCCTGTGCACTGTAGTTTCTCTAGCAGCATCACTGGTTTTGTGCTGTGGAGTCGCTAGCCCCACACCCAACCCAACCCTCCCTCTTTACGCGGCCTTAGGACCTGTTATAAAAAGCCAATGGGTTAAGAAACTATCCGATATTGCTGCTTTTGGTATATAGTTAATGTAGAATAGCACTTTAAAGCAAACAGTATTGTTTTCAACCAGATCTCATCAGTCCTAACTGTAATATACACACTGCATATAAACTGTACATCTAGTTATAATTACAATAATAGTAGTTAGTAGTGATACTATCAGAGATGAAAAACTGGAGCGATATTCGATAACAGGATTTGATGGAAAACAGCATGATTAAACGAACAAATCCCGTATGTCCAGACGAAATTCAATTCTAATATTTTTTTTGAAATAAATAAGCCAGTGATATTCATTCATATAAAAGGCTTTTTGTATTTCCCAATGAATGAATGAATGAATGAATGAATGAATGCAAAACAAAACGATACTCTCATTGTTTCTAACGACGTTTCGCTATTCAATGGTGCTGCTGCTAATAGCTTTGTCACAGTAGTGTTATTAAATCAGAAGTTACAGAATCTTAGTATATATGTACATATATAACGACTTAATTATTCAGACATCTAGGAGAAAACAAACAAAATAATTGAGCCAGCAAAGAAGAATATCCTTTTCGATAATTTCCTCCTCTTCTGGCTCTACAATTATACACATATGTGTGTGTTTATATACACAGAATATTCCAGAATGAAAGTCGATAACAACACTATTGGTGTTTTTTAAATGATATCGATTTGTTAGGTAAGACCACAATGGAATTTCATACATTTGGTTCCCTTGATTAATTTCAATAGAGAAAGAAAGACCAGATTTACAGCATAAAATGATATAGCCATCATTCTATTTCACAGGTTCCCATCAGCTAACTGCGAACCAGAAATTACAATGGTTATAAATAACAATAACATTTCATACTTCATTGTTTGAAAGGTAATAGAGAAAACATTATAAGGTGAACGCATCATCAATTTATATACTGTCCAACTATGAAAAAGAAAAAACGGGGGTGAGAGAAGACAGAAATCAGAAAAAATCTAGTAAACAGTGTCAACATGGCAACTCAAGAAGGTCAAAGTTCGTCAATTTGAAAACTTGCTTGGTGAGTTGAGCTCACTAGTGTGTATGACACTAATCAGTGTAATGAAAGTGATATGGTTACCAAGGGAGTGAGAGATTGATCACACTCTCTTTCTGTATGCATAAGTTTGGCCTGTGACGTTTGATTGCAATTGCTTCAGCAGACCAGACTTCACAGACCAAACTTACGCATACAGAAAGAGAGTGTGGTCAATCTCTCACTCCCTTGGTAACCATATCACTTTCATTACACTGATTAGTGTCATACACACTAGTGAGCTCAACTCACCAAGCAAGTTTTCAAATTGACGAACTTTGACCTTCTTGAGTCTGTCTGTCTGGATTCAACATAGAACTTGGCACCGAACAGAACTTGACCTTCTTGAGTTGCCATGTTGACACTGTTTACTAGATTTTTTCTGATTTCTGTCTTCTCTCACCCCCCGTTTTCTCTTTTTCATAGTTGGACAGTATATAAATTGATGATGCGTTCACCTTATAATGTTTTCTCTGTTACCTTTCAAACAATGAAGTATGAAGTGTTATTGTTATTTATAACCATTGTAATTTCAGGTAGTGGTTTGCAGTTAGTTGATGGGAACCTGTGAAATAGAATGATGGCTATATCATTTTATACTGTAAATCTGGTCTTTCTTTCTCTATCGAAATTAATGGAATTAAAATTCATTAAAGATACATAAATTACAATAATAATAAAAATATAGAAAAAAAATCCCCATTTAGACATTTAGAAAACAGAAAGATTGAGCAGTGAAGAAATATTTACTTTTCAATTAGATCCTCATCTCCTGCTCTCCTCTAATAAACACGTAAAGCATTTTTATTACAATACACAACAGTTTATCAATCAGGTAGTGGCACTGATATGTTTGTTAACAATAATTAGTCAGTGTCAAAATGTCAATGGGTTAATAATAATTAACGATGAAAATCAATACAGATTTAAAAGGTAGAAATGGATAGAATAAATTAATTTTACAAGGATAACACGTAAATTAAAGATGAAGTGGTCAAAATAAATAAAAATAAAATAAATAATTTAGACAATTATAATTTCATAGGTTTAGGAGGAGGGAGGCGATGTAGTCCTGTTTATCCATTCTTGTGACGATTGCCACGGGAGGCAAAGTAGCTGTACAATTTTTTTCAGTGCACATAGGCTTGGCTTCTTCAGGTTAA